AAGAAGAAGGCGCGGGCGGGGCGCGCGGGGGCGGGGGAGGAGTTTGACGCCTTCTTCTACACCCTGGTCACACTGGACACGCAGGTGGGGTGGGGTGGGGTGGGGTGAGGGGTGGTGCGGTGTGGTGTGGTGTGGTGTGGTGGGGTGTGGTGGGGTGTGGTGCAGGGGGATGGGATGCGCGGGCGGGGTGTGCGTTTTGGTGGGCGGATCAATCCTGGCCACCACGCTGCCGTACCGCCCCGCCGTACCGCAGGAGGTGTACTTCAGCGCCAAGCGCCAGCAGTTCCTCATCGACCAGGGATACTCGTACAAGGTCATACCGCACCTGCTGGAGGCCGCGGGTGGGTGGGGGTGGGGTGGGGGCCTGGGGGCACACGTGGTGGTGGCGGTGGTGTGCGCAGGCGTGGCTGGGCGGCATGTGTGTGTGTGTGTGTGTGTGTGCGTGCGCGCGTGTGTGTGTGGCGGCTGGGCTCAGCGCCAGTGTTAGTTGGCGGCGTGGCGGATGGGTGGGGGACCTGTGCTCAGAAGTTAAGTTCAGTTGAGATGGTTGAGCGGGCGCACCGGGGATGGTGCCGCCCCCGACCCTGCCCGCTCGCCCACCCGCCGCACGCCGCCGCGCCGCCGCCGCAGGCGCGGAGGGCCCCGACGGCGGCGGGCTGCTGCTGTCGTCACACGAGGAACAGCTGGATGTGCTGGCTGCCATCCTGGCGGTCACCGATGCTGACCTGGCGGAGGAGGAGACCGATGATAAGGACGACATCGCCAACCTCGGCAAGAAGTGAGGGCGAAGGGGGCAGGGGGGTGTTTGGGCTGTTGGTTGTGTGGAGCAAGCAGCCTGCTGTTTTGATGTGAAGGCACCTCATGCGCACAAGTCCTGCAGCGCCGCTGCTGCCGCTTCCCCAGCCTCGCCCCGACCCGCCCCGCTCCCCCTGTGTCTCCGCCTGCCGTCCAGCCTGCGCCTCGTCCAGCCGCAGTGCATCCCATCCCCCCCCCACCCCACCCACACACCCCACACACACGCACACACACACGCTCCCACGCCTGCGCCTGCCTCTCCCCGCAGGTCTGCCACGCGGCGTGTGGTGGGCGACATGGCTGCGCTGTCGGGGGCGGCTGGCATGCGGTACATGGAGTACAGCACGGGGGCGGGCGGAGGGCAGGGCGGGCGCGCCCGGCCGCCCGGCGGCGGCAAGCTGGCCAAGATGGCGAAGAAGTATGGGTGAGGTACCGCGGCGGTACGGCCAACCGCAAAGGTACGGCTGGCGACCCCGCTGTAACCAGAGAAATAGGCAGCTGTAACATCAATAAATTCATTCGGCAATATGAACAAGTAGTGCTGTAGGAATCCAGACCAATCCATTTAATTACCCGCCTTTTCAACTCAACTCCTCGACCTGGTGCTGTGCTGCCAATGCGCCGCCTCTGTAACGCCTGCCCAGGCTCTGGCGGCCCGGATCAGTCGGCGGCGGCGCCTGGCGGGGCAAACCGTATGCCCGGCAGCGCCTGGCTGTCCAGGCTGGCAACCTGGGCGCTGATGGTCTGCCCTGCAGCCGGCACGGGAGGGCTGGCACCATCAGCCGGGGCCTCCATGCACCGCCGCGGCGCAGCACATGGTGTGTGCACATGCTGTGTGCAGGCACGGCTTGCCTGCCATGCTGGTCAGCTCTATGGTCAGCAGCCCGGCCAGCTCGCTGCGCCCGCCGTCGCCCTGCCACACCCACCTGCAGCTGGGGGTGGCGGCGGGGACCTTCAATAATGTCAACAGGTGGCACCCACATGCGCCCACCACGGCACCTCTCTCGCAATAGTCCACTGTCAGCTCATCCGCCCGGCAGCGCTCACCGGTGGTCGGAGTGGGACAGCGGCCGGCCAGCGATGCGGGCGCCCGCCAGCGGCTGCCCCGTGTTGCTGAACGTCACCGCCTGGTAGTGCTGGCTGCCGCCTGCGGCCGGGCGGCGAAAGTGATCGGGGAGCCTACGGGGCGCAGCGCTGGCCCCTGCTGCACCCAGGCTAAGGCTTCACTCCTCCCTGCGAAAGCGTGCGGCAGCTCAGCGCTCGCACCGGGCAGGACATGCATGTAGATGTCCCAAGCCACGCGCCCGCAGTCGGCAAAGCCCCACTCCACTGCCAGCGAGGGCGGCGAGGCGGCGCCCTCGGCCACGCCTGCCATCAGCCTGCGGCAGGCAGGCGGCACACATGGCTTGCAAGACCAATTGGTACCGACAGGTGCATGGCGGGATACCCCGTCGGGCTCCTGGAACATAGCCAACCATCATGCAAGATGCCCCGCTGGTCTGCCACCCACAGCATCCCAGCCAACCACAGCCGCAGCGCTCCTCCTCACTGCCTGACCTTAAGGCATTCGGGCTCATCAGCAGGTCGCCGCCGCCGCAGTGCCCGCAGTCGTCCAGCACGAGGAAGAGGGCGGCGCCGGTGCCGGCCGAGCAGGCGCTGGCGTTGGCGCAGGTGGCCTTGATGCAGCGGCCGCAGGCGGCGACGCCGCGGCTGTGCAGATCCAGCTTGACGGCCCCATAGTCGCTCTGCAGGGCATGCGGCCACCTGGTTTGAAGCATTCGTGCCAGGAAAGCAGGCAGGAAGGCTGCCACGCGAGCCACCTGAAAGTTTGGGGCGATGCCCGACAGGCCGCAGGCCAAGTCCCTGCATAAGCGGGAACGGCGAGCGGCATCGGTTGAAACGAATGATGCCTGTGAATGACTGCTGGCTGCAGGCAGGGTGCGCGTGCGCTCACCCAAACTCGCGCCACGACGGCCAGGAGCCGGCCCGGGCGGTGCCCGAGAAGCGCTCGCCGCCGGCTGCTGCCGTGGGGCCCGGCTCGGCTTCGGCCCGTCCAGCTGGCATCTCTGCCGCCGGCGCGCTGGGATCTGCTGCTGCAGGTGCAGGAGGCTGGACCAGCGGCGTGGGGAGCGGCAGCGCCTCTACTGCCATTGCCGGTGGAGCTTCTCCCTCTGGCGCAGGCGGCGCAGCGGCCGGCATGCCAGCGCTTAGCTGAGGTGGCTCCTCGCCTGGCGCCTGGGCTGCCATGGCTGGTTCAGCTGCAGGGGGCTCGCCGGCGGCAGCGGGCCCCACTGCTGCAGGCTGCAAGCTCTCCATGGCAGGGGCTGCGGCCTCTGCCCGAGGTGGAGCCGGAGGCGGCATGCCTGGCTGCATACGGGGGTCCAGCTGAGCAGCTGGCGCCTCGGCTTCAGGCGGAGGGGGCTCGAGCGGGGCCACTTCAGCTGATGGTGCTGGGGCTACGGCAGGGCTCAAGTCCTCCTCAGCAACCTCTGCCACAGCTGCAGCCTCTGCCGCTGGGAGCGGCTGCTCTGTCGCCGGGGCTGCCTGCTCCTCCGCTGGTGGTGCGGCTGCTGCGGGGCGTGGCGGCTCCGCCGCTGGCGCCGCTGTCGCAAACGCCACAACCTTGGGCGGCGCAGCAGTTGCTGCTGCCTCAGCTGCGGGCACCAGGCTGATGGGGGCACCCAGTGGCGCCGCAAGCAAGCCATTAGCTGGTGCGGCCAGCAGGCCGGTCACCGGTGCCAGCACCAGTGCTTGCTCAAAGGCCTTGATGACTCCCGCCTCTGCCCCCGCCTGCTCCCCTGGGCCTGCCTCATCGTCCTCGTATGCTGGTTGCTCTGGTGCTGGTGCTTGGGAAGGCTGGGCATGCCCCACAGCTGGCGCTGTGGGCAGGGGAGCGCCGGGATAGACTGCATGCACAGCCAGCAACAGTCAGGGCAAGTGAGGCGGCGCAAGCGGCTCTTGGCAGCAGGCCAGCACAACAGCACCTGCAGCTTGCCTGAGCCCCAGGGCTGACACGGCGTGAGCTGCCAGGCGACTGGGAAGGCGTTTGAGGGAGCCGCCGGCTTGCTGCTCAGCTCCCTGTGGGCGACGGGCAGGCCATGGAAGCAGGCGGGTGGTGCACTCGAGCGCTACCAGCAGCGAGCGCTACCAGAAGCGAAGCTTCACGGCAATCCCATCCAAGCAGCGCCAGCACAGAGCCATGCCGCTGGCTCGCCGGAGCCCCACCTGAACACGAAAGAATTCAGCTGCACATCCCCGGGGCCGCAGGCGGCGCCGCAGTCATCCACCACCGCCGCTGCGAAGGGCACGCCGCCAGCCGCCGGCACTGCTGCTGAGCAGCAGGAGCGCAGCAGAGGGCGGCGCCATTTGCTGCTCAGACGCCCCACCCACTCACCCGTAACGCCGTGCTCCAGAGAGGCGCAGTGGGCAGTGCTGGTGCAGCGCAGCATCATGCACCTGCAATGCAGGGCTTGGCGGTGCGAGGCTTCCTGTCAATCACAGTGTTTTTGTTAACCGCCATACGTGGGGATTCACTAGTGGCAGCGCTCGCCTGCCGCAGGCCTCTGGGTGCAGGGCTATGTTCACTGCCGCGAGGTGGATGGTGTAGTAAGGGGAGACGCCTTGCTGGCGGCAGGCCATGGCAGCCGTATCATTCTTCTTTATCCACTCGGGGAGGGATGGCGCGAAGCTGGCGGTGCCCGCCTGCTGCAGGGCCGTGGCAGCGGAGCTGGCCGCTCCGGCAGTCAGAGCAACGAGCGCGGGGACCGCGTCGGCAGCTGGCAGCTGCCGCAGGCGGCGGAGGGGCACAGTGCTGCCGGATTGGGGGCTGCCGCCGCCAACCTCGGCAGCGGCGCCTGCTGGGCCTGGCTGCTGTTTGGCGGCTTCATCTGTTGCTGGTGCAGCTGTAGCCGCCAGTGACAACGCCAGCAGCAGACGCAGGGCGGTGGGCACCAGCCCTGCACGTCCCAGCATGGCTCTAGTTGGGGAGATTGGCAGAGTGTGGCTTCACTCAGTTGCGGTTACAGGCTACAGAGCAGAGAAAGCTGAGGTCAGGAAGAAAGCACAGTTCTTGGAAGCCACAAGGTTTATAATTTTGCTTGAATTTGAGCACAGATGCATAGGCAAGAGGGATAGAGAAGTAAAAATTGGCAGAAGATTGTAACGAAACATCATCAGGACACATTGCTGCTGGGGAGTGCAGCAGGCACCAGCAGGCGGAAGCTCGCTGTCAAGCTTTGATGCACTGGGACACGTCTGTGTTGGGGTTTACGCCCGCCGGGCCTGCGGCAGGGACAACGCAACGAGGGCAATGTCATGCTCGGCACCGCAGCGCAGCGACAGCCCCGAGCAGCAGCAGCAGCAGGTGGCGCTTACAGCAGTAGCGGGTGCTGCCGAGCAGAGAGCGGCGGAGCATGAACTTTGTGGTCCGCTTCTTGTACTCCCAGTTAGCGCGGGCGGTGGTGTTGCTGCACGGGGCGAGGCAAGCAGCAAGGTGAGGGCCAAAGCCTGTTTGCGCGGGGCAACGTTGCAGGTCGATGGTGTCGCAGGCAGCGTACCAGGCTTCGCAGGTGATGCTGTCCTGTGAGAACTCATCGGAAGGGCCTGCAGGGAATGAAGGCGAGAGGAGGTGGCGTGTTGTGTGCGCATGGAAGGTACCACCACATGCACACACCATCCAGCGCGGCGCCTAAGGCAGGGGGCGCAGCTCACATTTTGTGCACTCCCAGGCCCCTGCATGCGGCGGGAGCACAGCGGCACCACATGTCAGTACAGCCGGCAGGAAGGCAGCCCGGCGGCGCTGCAATGAACCGCGGCCTGCTTGCTGCAGCCGGCTGCTCCTCGCCATCGGTTGCGGCCACTGAGTTTCTCGGGCAGGTCTGCAGCAGGTGGCAGCGCGGCAAGTGGCAACAACCAGTGGGCACACTATCCTGGAGCGACGGCACAGATCAGATGCGGGCACGAGGCAGCTCCCTCACGGCGGGCTGCAGCGCTGCCAGCCCGGCCGCGCCACACTCCCACCAGCAGCTCACCCAGCAGGTGGATTTGCCGGTGGTCGGAGCATACGTGCCCGCCTTGCACTTGCTGCACTTGGTGGATCCCGTCTTAGAGGCTATGTGACCCTTGGGGCAGGGGCGGCACAGCGCCCTGCCCGTCTTGTTGGTCGCAGTGCCCACCGGACAGGGGATGCACGCGGTCAGGCCTGCAAGAGGGAAGGCAGCCACGGGCAGGCAGCGTCGATGCTACACTGCCAGCCTGCCGTAGTTCGCTCAGCATCTGAGTCAGCAGGGCGGCACTGCGCCCATCTGAGGCCACACACCCGTCACGTTGGCAAAGCTGCCGGCGGCACACGGCGTGCACGCGGTGGCGCCGGTTGCAGCAGTGTAAGTGCCGTTGGCGCAGGGGGGGCAGTTGGCCGTGCCATTCGCAGCATTCGCCGTGCCAGGCTTGCAGAACGTGCAGTTGGTCTGGCCTGCAGGGGCGCGGCAAAGGATGTAGAGAGCCAAGGCACGTGTGGCGCCAGGGCAACGCAGCGGCGCCAGCCAGATCAGCAGCAGCACCACCCGCCCCACGCTCCGCCCCATGCTCACCCTCCAATGGCTGCTCCATGCCGACCGGGCAAGCACGTTGCACTGTGGTACCTGCAGCCGTGCAACGGCAGGCCAGAACCAGCAAGTGATTGCCCCGCCCGTACTGTGCCACACAGCAGCCAAGCATGCCGGCTGTCCAGCAGGCCTCCCTCACAGCTCACCTGTCACGTTCACAAAGTAGCCAGGCCAGGCATTCGCACATGCCTCGGGCTGGCTCTTAGACCCTGCGGGCGCCAGGGCAATGCAGTCAGGGTGCAGCAGCCCGGCCTGGTGACCCAAGGCAGCCAGTCCCGCACGCTGCGCCCTGCTGCGCCCTGCTGCGGGGCCCGCAAAGGGTCACCTGTGACGAGCCTGCACTCACACTTGGAGAGGATGCAGTTGGTGCAGCGCTTGCGGGCAAACGTGCCCGCCTGGCAGGGCTTGCACTCCGCCTGCCCCAGGTAGGGGTTGTACGTGGCGTTGCGGCACGGCCAGCAGGCAATGATGTTGCCAGCTGCGCGACAGACATGCACAGAAGGCTGTGTCATGGCAGCAGGCAGGGGACAACGCCTTCAACACTGCGGTGCCGCGGCGTGGCGGTGCGGCAGGCAGCCACATACCTCCAGTGCGGGCGTTGTACGTGCCATCGCTACATGGATTGCAATCGGTGACAGAGCCAGAACCTGCAGTTGAGATAAGGGCAGTGTGGGCATGCAGCAGCATGAAGGCCATCCCGGGATGCAGGGGCTGCGACGGGAGGCCTCGAGACCCGTTGCCGAGTTCTTTCTTCCCGCCGCCCACCTTCATCCGGATTGTACGTTCCGGACGGGCACTCAAAGCATTCGTACGTCATGGTGTTGTTGGTCCACGTGCCTCTCCGGCTGAGCAGGTGGGGAGCAGGGGCCAGGGGCGGCGGCACACGGCAGGGTTGGCAGGCCGAGCTGCCACGGCAGCTAGAGCTAGGCAGGCGTGCGGTGCCACAATCCAGGCGCACACGCAAGTGCCTGGCCCACCCAACCGCCGTGGCGCTCACCAGTTGGTGCACGTCTTGTTGAACGTGAACTGCCCCGCCTTGCAGGTCAAGGGAGCCGGCTGCAGCGGCAGCGCAGCAGGCAGCGCCCGAGTTGGAACAGCAGGCGGCCAGGCGGCCAGGCGAGCGGGGGCGGGGGCGGGCCAGGCCACCTCAAGGCTGGCGGCAGCAGCGCCACCGGCGGCCGCCGCCGCCGCAGCAGCAGCTCACGTCGCACTGCGGCACCGTGCTCTCCACGATGGTCTGCGTCCAGGTCTGGCTCCAGAACAGAAAGTTGAGGCCAAACTCCAGGGTGAAGTGGCCAGAGCCTGCGCAGCGGGATCCTCCAGGGTCAGCAGCGTACGGTAGGGTGCTGGACGAGGCATGGTGGCATGGCACATGGTAGGGTATGGGGCATGGCAGGACGGGGAGGGCATGCAGCACGCGCGGCGTGTTCCGGCCCGCAGCCTCCCGCTGCACAGCAAGGCGAGGCACGCACCCCTCCTGCCTGGGCAGGCCGGCTGCTCCCTCGCCACAGCCACCCAGCCGCCGCCCAGCCGCCGCCACACCTCCACCCGCCCCAGCGCTCGCCTGCCTCCCAGGCGCAGTAGTCCTGGCACTTGAGGGACCAGTCCCAGCCCTTGGTGTTGGTGGAGTTGCGAAAGAAGTTGCAGAGCGTGTTGTCCTTGTTGTCGTGGAACTGGGGCAGGGGGGGGGGGGGGGGCAGAGGGAGAGCAGGCACGGATGGTGGGCGGAGGGAGGGCTGGTACCGCCCTCCTCCTGGCGCCCATCATGACCCGAGGTGCCGCGGCGGCTTGTGCAGCCAGGCTAGGTAAAGCGCGGCAGGCTGCCGCGCCCCACCTGCATCTTGATGTTGGAGCCCAGGCTCGCTATGATGGCCGTGGAAGCGATGCTGAACTGCACCTGCAGCCCACAAGCAGGCAGGGGCAGGCGACAGGGCACAGACACTCGTCAGCCGCTTGCCCTGCTGCTGGCGTCAGTCCGCGGCGGCGGAAGGAGGCACCAGGGGGTATAGCGTGATTGAAGTGTGGCTAGCGCGGCGGTTCCCCACTCAGCAGCGCTGCTCTGTGCCGCTGCGTGCCTGGCTCTTCAGCGGCCACCAGGTGGCGTCAGGGCCGGAGCAGATGCCATCCAGGCCGACCCACTTCAATATCTGCAGACAGGCGGGTCAGACCAGGCGGGTGGGCAGGCAGAATGCAGCACACATGCAAGGGGTGTGATGTGCGGTAGGCAGGGGTAGGCATGCATCCGTCGTCACCTTGCCGAATGTGCCGAGCTTGAGGCAGACATTCAGGGCCACGTCAAAGTGACTGTTGGTGGCCAGGTCGTCAACGGCCTGCAGCCACAGCGCAGAGGGCAGGCAGGAGGCTGCTTGGTGGCATGCACGTGTGGCAGGAGGAGAGGCACGGCCTTGGCATGCCCACACGCCGAGTGGGGCAGGATCCGCGGCAGCTGCCCTCCACGTACCACGGCCATGCTGAAGTTGGTCCTGCTCTGCTTGAACGTCAGGCACTGCGCCTGCTCCTGCACGTCTGCCCCGCACAGCTCCATCGTGTCTCCAGTCTGCATCGCAGAAGAAAGAACAGGGAAGAAAGTCAGAGCAGCAGCTATCGAGCCCAGCCAGCCGGCCACGGCGGCGGCCACCAGGGCACGGCACTTCGGCAGCAGCTGCCGCTGCCTCGTGCCCACGCCGCTCACCACGCTGATCGTGGGCGTGCAGCCGTTGATGAGGAGCTGCAGGGTGAGGAAGGTGCCGGCGGGGGGCGGCAGCGGGAACTTGCAGGAGATGCCGCCGCACCTGCAGGCAGCAACGCACCCGACCGGCAGGCAGGTCAAGCCACCACAGGTGAGGTCCCTGGGCGAGGCAAGGCAGCAGTCAAGGGGCAGCCAGGGGTGGTGGTGGTGGTGAGCTTGCTCAGATGCGGCACCGGCACCGGCACCTTTCGGTGAAGAAGCCCAGCAGGTCTGAAAACTTGCAGCCCGTGCGCTTCTTCTTCTTGGTGCCAGCCTGGACTGCCGCCAGCGAGCGCAGCGATGCCAGCCCCTCCGGCCCCCACCACTCCTCCCCCAGCCCGCCGCCGTCGGCGGGGCCGTGCGGGGCGCCGCGCTCCAGGGCGTCGCCAAACTCAAGGGAGTCCAGCAGGCCGCGGGCGGCCCGCTTGACGGCGGTCAGGTTCCGGGGAGCGGCCAGGTCTGCCTCGAACACTTTCTTGCCCTCTATGTACCTGCAGAGCACGGCAGCTGCCAGGTCAGGCCGTGGGGGCAGCACGTGCGGGGTTGCACAGGGCAGGCACCGAGCGGCTGCCTCGGCAGATGCTGCGCAGGAGGGGGGCGCAACAGGGGCGCACATCAGGGCGGAGCACTCGGGCCAGGGCCGCTTCCGGTCGCAGGTGCAGTTCTTGGCCTGCAAGCAAATGGCGACAGTGGCGCCAGGTCAGCGCCAGGTCAGCGCACACTCTCGCCAGGTCAGCGCCAGGCCAGCGCACACCGCGCGCCAGCCTGGCGCCGCCAGCAGGCGCGGCGGCCGCCCCCGCCGGCGCCGGCATCCCGGCAGCGGCGGCAGCGCACCGCGGCCGACATGGAGGTCCTGTTGGCGTCGTGGCACAGCTTGGCCCGGCCCTCGGGAGCCTGCACAGCGGCAGCAGACGCCGGCCGCAGGAAGGCGCAGGAGGAGATAAGCGCTGCGCCGCCTGCTGCGGGCCGGCGGCAGGCGCAGATGTGCAGATGCACGAGCCTGCCCGTTGGAGCCCTGAGTTGCTGGGCGGCCCCAAAGTGTGCTGCAGCCCCGCGCCGCCCTACCCTGGTGGCGTTTGGCAGCACGCCGCTCTGCTTCATCACTGCCACGGTGCCGGGCTGGGTGAGGAAGGCGGCGAAGGAGTCCACTATCTTCTGGGCGGTGGCGCCGACGGGGATGCCCAGCCGCGCGGCGGCGCTGCCCGAGGATGAGGCGTGCAGCCGCCTGCCGCTCTTGGTGCGCCCTTCCTCTGTGGCGTTGATGGCGGCAACCAGGGTGGCGCCCAGCGCGCTGCGCGGGCGGGCAGCGGGGGCGGCGATCGGCGGCCGGGCGGCGCGGCAGGTGCGGCGGCCCTTGGGCGCGGGGCGGCAGGCAGGCCTGCTGCGCGGGCGCCTCACCTGATCTCCGTCTTCAGCTTGGCGGCCACTGTCTTGGTGTCGTTGTCGGCGGCGGCAGACGCAAACAGGCGGCCTGCGTTGCTGGTCGCCACCGAGGTGCCCGCCGCCGCCTCGATGTTGGTCAGCAGCTGCACCACAGCCTGCACCTTCTGTTCGGTGACCATGACAGTGGATGGCAGGGAGGCGGCGGCCAGCACGCGCCTGCCCCTCGCGATGGCAGCAGGCACAAGCACCGGGGGGTGAGCGGCAGCGGTCGGCGCTGGCGGCTGCCTGATGTGCGCGCGCGCGACGCATGTGCAGCCAGCACAGGGCACACTCCCAGTGCAATGCACAGCACTCGTGATGGCAGGCGCAGGGCGCGGTGACTGCGCCCCCTCCGCCTGACGCCGCCGTTGGTCCTGCCGGGGGCAGAGCCTGCATGCTGCCCGCCCACTCAAGCGGCCGCAAGCCTCTGCCGCGTGTTTTACTTGCCGTTGGCCACCTGCCCTGGGCCGCTCACCTCTCCGCTCCCGCGAGACCGGACCACAGCGCCAGCAGCAGAAGCAGCACCCTCATCTGCGGCGGGGCAAACAGCTTCACCGCAATGCGGGGGCTGCACTTGTGCTGTGGCGGCGGCGCGGGCTGCAAAACCCGCGGGGCAGCGGGGCTCCTCACCGTCTGCGCCCTGCCCAGCATACACACAGATACGTGTGTGACGCTGCAGAAACCACTCTAGTTGCAGTTAATCCGGGGGCCCGGCGAAGTTGGTTCTGTGCCAGGGCACCCGCCAAGGTGGCGGGGCTGGCGGGCAGCCTCCAGCCTGAATGTGCCCCAACCCTGCCGCTAGCCCTCTGAGTCAAGGTACAAATGCATGCGATTCGTGTGTGCTGGGGGATCTATGGTGCAGTGGTTCATGGGGACAGCGATGGCGGGATCGACAAGGAGCGGCATCAAGCCAGCAGGCACCGCCGGCGCCAAAGCGCCGAGAGGCTGGCCTCGGTGGCTACATGCTCATGCCCACCTTTTAATAGCACATTAAATGAATTCAGCTCTGCCCATATAACACTCTACCAGCAGGTCTAGCCTGCCTAATACAACCCGCCGGTGCTCAGCGGCGCCGCGCTCACTGGCCTGAAGCCGCGCGGCCAAACTGAGCGGCGAGCTCCAGGTTCTTCAGCTTGCTGCAGCGGACGGCGGGCACCAGCCAGGGCCTCGTTGGCCGGGGCAGATAAGCACATGGATGTATGATTGCGTGCATGCAGACGATGCGCTCGGCACCCAGCACGGCACGGGATCCTCGCATGCACCGAGCGCAGCGGCAAGGGAGCAGCAGGCGCACTCACGTGACCCTCACGCGAAGCACCTCCCTGTTGCTGCCCAGCAGCGCGATGTTGAAAGGACCACGCGGGTCGATAGCCTGAGGGGGGACAGGGTGATGTGCGGGCAGGCAGGCAGCCGCTTGGCAGCCTGAGGCTGGCCAGCCGAGGAGCGGGGAGCGGGCAGCATGCATGGGTATGCATGCTGGGCCCTGCTGGGCAGCAGTGCTGCCTGGCAGTGAGCGTGCCGGCAGCTGCTGCCTGGCTCACATTGCCTGGGTTCCACTCCCACCAGTTGGAGGTGCCGTGCTTGAGACGCTCGCCGTTGATCTGCACCGCGGTGATGGGCTGCAGGGGGCAGCGCGCACGGAACGGCGGCTGACCTGGCAGGCACGGTGTGGCCCATGCCCACGACCAGGCACTCAACACTGACAGGAAATGCACACCGCGATGCGCTTGTGGCACTGGCAGCTGCCCGCCCCGCGTGCTCACCACCCGCGCGTTTGCAAAGTTGAATGCCTGGTAGTATGCGTTGCCGCCCTCCTTCACCAGCATCCAGATGTTGCCCTCGATGAGCGGTGCGCAGTCCACGTAGTCCCAGCTGACCTGCAGGGGCAGAGCGGCGAGGCGCTGCTGTCAGCCAGCGCGGCCCCAGGTGCAGGCAGCGTGGCGCACGGGTCCAACAGGGCACCGGTGGGGCAGCGAGCAGGATTCGATGCTACGCAGGTGCTGGACAGCAAGTGCCACAGTGCGGCAGGCTGGGCGCGCCTCGAGGGTTGGGTTGATGGAGGGCTCTGCGCCGGTGAGGTTGGCAAAGGCGGGGATGGCCAGGCTGATGTCGGCATTATAGCAGTCGCCTGGGGCAGCAGAGAAACCAGGGTGTGCTGTGTGTGTGTGTATGTGTGTGTGTGTGTGGCAGGGGCGAGGCGAGGCAGGCAAGAGCTGGTGGTGGCTGCGCCCTGGGAGCAAGGCGAGCCCAGGCGGGGGCGCATGGCCGGCCGGCCCACATGGGTGCGGCAGCAGCACAGCAGGCGAGGCAGGCAGCCAGGGAGGCGCGTACCGCAGAGGTCCACCACCTGGGCCACAATGGTGCCACCCGCCTCCAAGCACCCCTTGTCGTCGCACTGCAGAGGAGCGGGAGGTCGAAAAGAGACCCGCTGTGACAGCGGGGCAAGCTCTGGATGGTTGTGAGGAGTGTGGTAGGGCTGCACGCCTGCCCGCCTGCGCAGAACACGGAGGCCTCCCCCTCTTGCCTGGATCTCCACGCAGCGCCCGCAGGCAAAGCCACGGGAGTAGACGGAGGAGCCCACGCCGATGTAGGCGCCCCGGAAGTCTGGGTCCACGTGGCCAAAGCCGCAGCCCAGGCCCATGGCGCCTGTGGCGGCGATGGGCGCGGGCTCATAGGCGCTGATGGCGGTGGCCTTGAACTTGAGGCGGGGCAGCTCGCCTGCGGGGCAGGTGTGTGAGGGGGCGCTGGCAGGGGAGCAGGGGAGCAGGCCAGGGGCCAGCCAGTGGCTGGTGACGGGGCAAGGTGGGGGGGTTGCGGGCAGGCGGAAGTTGGGCAGGCACCTGAGGCGGCCTCGGGCAGCAGGCCAAAGGAGTCTGCCTGCCCGTCGGCTCCAGCGCCAAGGTCCTCCTGGGAAGCAAACTGCAGGCAACGGGTCGCACATCGGTGCAGGGCTTCAAGAGGACTGGCTCACTGAGGCGGCAGCGGCGGCGGGGGGCGCCAAGCCTCCGACGTTGCTTGCTCAAGCTTGCTGTCTGCCCCACTCTGGCTGTTTCCTGGACTAGCACCCACCTGCTCCGCCTCCGCAGAGTCCAGAAAGCCCGAGGCCTCCAGGTCACTCAGCGCCTGGGCATCGCTCACAAAGCCGGGGGTGGCGTCGGCGCGGCTTGCCGCCTGCTGCGCCGCCACCGGCGCTGGGCGGGTGGATGCCGCCAGCAGGCAGCCCAGCAGCAGAGCGGCTGGCCACCCCACAGGTCGGCTGGTCATGTTGTCAGGGTGAGAGAGAGGTGTGAGCTGGTGGGAGAGAGGTGGGCGCAGGAGGGGTGGCTGGCACGAGTGACCCGTTGCACCTGCTGTTCCCCACGTTACCTGTCGATGAAAATAACAGCAAATGAGACGCACAGATAGAACGCCAGAGCCCTCGGCAGATGTTCTTGGATAAATCGTGGCTGAAATTGCGGCAGTGCATGTACTGCCGCATTTTGAAACCCAAGAGCTCATTACCTAATGGTGAGTGCTCTCAACAGCATATTAGATGCCCACGGATGCCATTCAAGCCAGGCAGAAGCAGCGCCCTCGTGAGCAAGTGGCGGTTGGCGGCGGCGGTGGCACTGCCGACGGTTATCAGCAGGGACATGTGCCTGTTATGTAGGAAGTATTACCCACTGATAACTATGGTACAAAGCACATGTACAGGAGCACCCTTCCATGCGAGCGCCAAAATTTGGCTCTAGTACGCTACACAGGTGCACGCCACGTGGCTACGCTAGGCGCTAAAAGTTGATGCCCAGGTCCTGGGACTGCAGCGACTGCAGCTGCTTAACCAGCGTCTGGCCGCTGGCGCCCGTCAGCACCAGCCGGTAGGGCGGCGACAGCAGGATGTTCTGGCCGGGGCTGTTGAGCTCCCAGAACCCTGCAGGGGGGTGGTGCGCCTGGTGGGCTTTGTGTCTGGTTGGCAGGGCAGGCATGGCAGCTTACATCGTGGTGCTCTCCAAGGCAGAGCATTCCGCCAGTTGCCCTGCCACACGCGCAAGGCAGAGGCCGGGCAGTGGCATGTCCCGTGCGGCTCCACTGGGGCTCACCGTAATCTGTTCGCTGCAAGTCCAGGCCCCCGATGGAAACCGACCTGCACATGCGGCAGCTCTGAGCTCTTCCCCTTGCTGCATGCGCATGGCAGGCGGCAGCGCTGCGGCTGTGCGCCACCGGCCAGAGGCATTCCTGGCGGCCCAGCGGCGGCGCCGTGCGAGCTGCCGCCTGGTGGCATCCTCTCCACGCACCTGAGCAGCTGCCTGAGGTTGCTGAAGTTGAAGGCCAAAAAAGTGGGGGAGTTGTTGCTGCCGGCCAGCATCTTGATGCCGCCTGCACCCGCGCCAGGCGGCGGCGCACACTCCCAGTCGAGTCCCGCTGGCAGCAGACGATCGGGGGCACTGCTGTGCGCCCTCTATGCCCAGGCCAATGCAAGTATGCGTGGCCACACACCTTGGATGAGCGGGGCGCAGGACTCAAAGGCCCAGGCAACCTGAAGTTTGGGGCTGATGTTGATGTCGACATCTGTCAGGTTTGCGAAGCCGGGAGCACTGACCTGCAGGTGGCAGAGCGGGGCGGGCACGGACAGGGCCAGCGGCGAGATCTGGTGCCACGCCTCCAGGCAGCGCCTGGCGTCTGCTGCCGCCTGCTAGCAGCAGCGCGCAGGAGAGCAGCGGGCACCCCACCTGCCCCCCCTGCCTCACCAGCAGGTCCTGGCCCTGGCAGTCCAGGCAGCTGTCCGCCACCATGAAGGAAGCATTGCGGACTGCGCATGCCAGGCACAGAGTACAGGAGGCAGCGACTGCTGGCTGGAAGGGTGGAGCGCAGCGCAAGCAGGCGGACAGGCGCCAGCCCCAGCAGAGGCAGCAGGCGGGCCCACACCGGCGCTGGCAGCACAAGGACAGCCAGCCAGCTCACTCAGGGGGTCCAGACAGACCGAGTCCACACACCAGATGCGGATGCAAGCGCCGCATGCCGCCCCGCCTTGAAACACCGCCTCGGGCAGGCCTGCGGCATGCAGGCGCAGAGTGAGCAGCAGCGCACTGCTTCTCCTTCTGCTGCTGCCGCCGCCGCTGCGGGTGCCGCTGCATGCTGCCGCCGCAGCTGCTGCTGCTGCACGGTGCACAGGCAGCGCGTCAGCAGGCACGTCCTTGTGCAGGCGCCCACCCGCAAAGTTGGCTGCAAAGTAGTCTGACAGGTATCCCATCCCGCAGGCCATCTCCACCCCGTCAAAGTTGCCCACATTCCTGCAGGGGTGCAGCCCACGCGGTGCGCAGGGTGCCGGCATCAGCGGAGGCGCCTGCGTGGCTCGCAAGCTGGGCTGGGCGACTGAGCGAAGCTCCGATATCGGCGGCCGCCTGCCCCTGCAGGCACCGCCCCCAGGGAGGACAGGGGGCAGCGTTGCAAGCAGAATGCGCTGGCCTGCATGCCAGCTGGCTCGGGCCCGCTCACCTACGGACGCTGACGGTGGCCAAGCCCTGGCGCAGCTGCCGCAGCCGAGGCAGGTTGGCCTGCTGCTGAGGGCTGAGCTCGATCACAAAGTCGGGTGGCGGGTCCAGCAGGCTGATCAGGCTGGCTGCGCCAGGGGGGTCAGGCAGGCAGGGTGATAACTGTCAGCCACAACGGGCGGTCTGCTCAGGCGCCGGGGTGGGAGGCTGGTGCTCAATGCAGCAGCAATGGCAGCATCAGGCAGCATCAGCCAGGCATCGCTCACAAAAGTTGGTGCGCTGGGGCTGCTCAGGGGTAGCGCCAGCTGGCGCCGGCTCGGCCTGCGCGCCAAGCTCTTCTGCCCCGCCGAACACCGGGGTTGCTTCTGGCCCTGCCTCGGGGCCCGCGCCTACTGCCCCCAGGTCAAATGGCGGCAGGGCAAGCGCGGCAAAGCCGTCCTGCTCCACCTCTGGGGCGGGGGCTGCCCCCAGCACCGGCAGCAGTGCGGCCTCCACACCAGGTGGCCCCAGCTGTGGCGGCGGGAGTGCCTCTGCTGCTGGCTGCAGCGCAGCCGGTAGGAGAAGGGCGGCCTGCCCCAAGGCTGGCTGCTCTGCTGCCGCGGGCGGGAGCCAAGCAGGCACCGGCAGCGGCGGCAGAAGCACGGCCGCCGCATCGCCGCCCTCTGCCTCCGGCGTGACGGCCAGTGCGCCAAACGGATCCTCTGCCTGCTCTGGAGCAGGAGCAGGAGCCGCTGCCGCCACCTGCCGCTGCTCGCGGTCGATGAGAGCAGCAAGCGGCGGGCCCTGAGCTGCCTGCCCGGCGCACCGCCTGCCCAGCAAGCCCAGCAGCGCCGCCAGGAATGCCACTGCACCGGCAGCAGCCAGTGTTGGGCCTGCCGGCGCTGCATCGCGAGTTTGTGCGTGGCCGGGTGGCTAAATCTCTCCCAGAGGCGACCACTGCTTAGCGCCTGCCAGGCAGTGAGTGCTCTGCCCAGCCCTGGGGCTGGTAAGAGGCGTTTCCAACTCGAATTGGTGAGGCACATCGTTTGTTGAGCTCTACAGCCCTAGTATGGGACTGCCCAAATTGTACTGCCTGAACTAAACTCAGATAGCAAGCCCCTCCACTGATGCTGCGAACAACAGGAAAGCAATGAGGAGAGGTAATAGATGGGAAAAAACAAGCCGGGCTCTACTTCCCCCTCTGGTCTGCCTGCCGCCAACTGCCGGTTCGCCATCGACACCACCAGCTGGTCTGCTCACGCGGCCTATCATAGCAGGGTGACTGTAACACAGGAGCCACCAGCTGTGCAACATCAAGACACGTCGATGTGCTCGCCATCCCTGGGCGGCCCTGCCACCCTTCTGTTGGTTGCTCAAGCCTTCCGATCTGGGCAGCACAGGCGGGCAGGGATGGAGGGAGGTGAGCAGGCACAGTGGCTTGGGCAGGCCCTTTGCGGAAGGCGCGCACCAACCGCCGTTCACAAGCACATGTGCCCGCTAAGCCGGCAAGTCACTTGCTGCCGCCTCCGCATGCCCCTGCACACTCACAGTAGACGGCATGGTGGCCCGCGGCCCTCACTGCCTCCTTGTTGGGCTTGGTACGATAGATGGCACAGCTCCTGGCGCTGATACCAAACCGCACACACCCGGTGGACGTGCGGCAGACCTTGCAGCAGGCGGCATAGGTGGTAGCGCCCCGCACGACGAAGGCGGGCTTGTCATCGAAACGGGACCCACGCACAGGCTTGCTGCATTTGCGCTTGAAGCAGCGAGGCGCTGCAGGGCACCGGTAGGGCAGGGAAAAAGGAACGTGGGGGATGGGCAGTTGCGCATACAAGAGGCGAGGTGGCCGGGGCTCTTGCAGCCAGCCTGCCTCACCAGCAGCCGCGCTGACTTCCTGTGCTGCGGATGCGCTGGCCAGCAAGGGGCACGTCTGGCACCTGCACACACCAGGAGCGCATCCAGGAGCCTGTGAGATCCTCGTGCTGGCCAGTCCCTGGACACACCTCACACACACATGTGCACATGAAAACCATCTGGTTGCCACGCACTGGTCGGCCGCTGAACACGGAGCAACCCACAGCAAGCCACAGCACCTGACTTTCCATCCAAACGAGTCGTAGCAAGTCTTCCAGTAGTCCCCGCCCCCGTCGCCGACCTTATTGCGGTCAAACAATACTTGTCCCACTTCGCATTCGCCTGCAGCACAGAGCAGCCAGCACTATGCATGGGCTGCTGCTGCACTTTCCACCAAGTGCAGTCTCATGCCATCCCATGCCAGCTGCTAGCCTGCTGGGCAGGCGCCTCGAACACACCAACTGCTAACCAGGCATGCTCATTGTGTGCTCCTTACCTGCGCAAAGCTTTGCCGAGCCCAACCTGCAGCCCAGGCAGGGGTGCGAGCAGACCAAGAATCGGGGCGCCTGCCAGCAAGGGTACTTGTGCTGCAGGCAGCGGCTGCAATCGGCTGCAGTCAGGCGGTGGCTGCCACTCACCAGGGGCCGGGTGCGTTGCACTTGCTCCTGTCATAAACTGGGATGCGGCACGACTCGCAAAGCATGTGGTTATAGGTGCCGCTGCTGCAGAGCGTGCCATCGCCGTACCGATCTTTGGCCACCAGCATCTCTCCAGGCAGGCAGCTGTCATAACAGGCCGGCGCTGTGCCCCGCCTGAAGCAGGAAACATTGATCCACAGTTAAGACAGCACGACTATCAGCAGCGCAGCATAGGGTTGGCGGCGGCAAGGAGGGCAGAGTGGAGGCGTGGTGAGGGAGGGCAGCAGCAGCGGGCTGGCTGCCCTGCGAGGCCTCTGCTCCCCCACCCATGCCTTACCAGGTGTAGGAGCATCCGTTGCACTCCTTGCGATCGCACAGTTTGCAGAGCACCTTGCCAGTGCCGGTGATGCACTTGCTGCCAAAGTATGCGTAGTCGTGTTCAGATACAGTCTTTTCATTATTCTTCATGTCAGAATCCGCAATCTGGGTCCATCCTTCAGGGCAGCTGCCCCTGCAGTTGGGCGCGGTGCCATACCTGCAGCAACGTTCAAAGGGCAAAAGCGCTGTGCCATCGCCGACACATGCGGGGGACCACACGGCGGCATCGGTCGCAGGAGCGGAACGTGCGCTGCATTCAGGAGCATACATTCAGGAGCAGCTGCGTCGCATTGCTGGGAGGCCAGCCACAGGGCACCCACCAGCGCAACACACACTCATCAAGCTTGGGCTGGCACAAGGCAGTCCTGTGTTACAGTCACCCCGCTATGATAGGCCGCGTGAGCAGACCTTGGGCAGGGGGCACACATGATCAAGGGGCATCAAGAGAGGGGGTGGACCATGGAGCACCCTCTCCATGGCTCCGACCACCCTCCCCCCAGCTGAGCGTCCCAGGGACACCCCACCCTGGCCCCGCTCCCCGTCCTGCCGGACACGCAACCCCCACAACGTGGTGGGGGACGTGGGGACAAGGAGCAGAAGTGCAGGAAGTAGGGGCCCTGAGCCTCGGTTCGACGTTCGGTGCGTACGTAGGCCCATCCCTCACCCAGTTTGGGGCATAACTCCTTCATTGTGGCCACCTCTTGCTCCTGTTGGGAAGGAACAAGAGATGGCTTTGCTCATCAACTGCTGAGGACCACGGCAGCCTGCTCTTGCAGGCCTCCGACCACTTGCCTTACCGTCAGCCATCAATCTCCGCGTACCAATCCCTCGCGAACCCCTCAATAGGTAGAAAGGGATCTCTGTGCAGCCGCTGGGAGCGCGGAAGGGGAGGCTGTCGTAAAGGTAAAGGTAAAGGTAAAGGTAAAGGTGGGGAAGAGCCTCCACAGGCTTAACTTCCCGGTTTTAACGTCTAGCTTTAGACCATTATTTGACCTGCCTGACGCGCCAAGTGCAGTACCCCCCACTAGTAGTGAATGGGTCCCGGGGAGGCCTGTGCCGTAGCCTTGGCGATTCTATTAGGCGTTCCCGAAGGAATTGGCTTGGATTGGCGCTGAGCCGGTCAGCTATGCCGCGTCGTAGCCGAATGCCAGGCGGACAGACCCTGCCAGGGCGCACAGGCCCAGCAGCAGGGCGATGCGCCGAGTGCCCAGACAGAAGCGCATCATGGGGCCGGCGGGGGCTGCAGATATGAGGGTGGCACGCAAAAAGCAGCTTGATGTCGACAAGGCCGCAGCCACACAAAAAAACAGGCTGCGGCGGTACTGTCGCCGGGTGGCGGCGGCAAGGCGGGCCACACACGCTCAGGGGCTCGCCAGCTATCTGATCCTCCTTCCTGCACCACAGGGGGCCGCTCACGAAGCAGGCAGCTGTGAGGCGGCAGGTCGGGGCGCGCTCCTGCAGGCGCGGGGCGGCAGCAGGTCGGTTTTGGGGCTGCCACAAGAGCATCATCTGTATTTGTGGGCTTGTGGGCCGCCACATCCGCCTCGAACAAATTGACGCTCAGCTCAAGCCCTCTGTACACAGCGCGCACCTTGCTAGCTTTTATCGCACAGATTGCGTGGGGCTGCCGCGAGCTCTGTTTCTTTATCTGAGGGTTGTGCGGGGACGCGGCCCGCACGTGGCACTTGGGATGGGCAGACAGGCTCGCCTCTATCTGTGGCAACAGACAGAGAGGTCAATGATTCGCAGTTGTAACTCTGAAGAGAACTCTAGCCTTTCCCGCAAGTGCATGCAAGGCAGGGAATCTTCCTGGCACTGACCGGCTGGCGCGCCGTACTGTACCCCCACCAAACATGCGCCCACAACTGCACAAAAAACTGCACAGCTAGTGCTTCCTGCAGACTGTTGTGACATCGATAGGATCATGTGCAGAACATGGCAGAGGGCACCGCTTCTGGGCTGGTGGGACGGCTCGCATCCAACTTCTGCTCACTGTCATCGGTTCCGCCGCATCTCTGCTCCTGTTCGAAGCGCTGCAACTGCTGTGCTTGGGCCACAGTACTGCATGGCACAGCAACACAGAGACGCTTGGTGCAATAAGAAGTCTTGCCGCCAGTGTCAACAGGCAGGGAGGCAGGCAGCAAAAGGAGGATGCACACCTGCGCACATCACGAGCTCCCGCCTTGCAGATTTCGCACAGCGGCAGCAAGGGCCATGGATCCTCCATCTGAGTCTGCACACAGAGTCAGCAGCAGCCAGCGGCCACGGCACAAGGTTCTGCAGCACAGATATCGATACCGCGAGCAGCGCAGGAGGCTGCCAGCATGGCCAGCTTTTTTCTGCAACGCCAGCGCTGTCGCCTGTGCCTGGGTGTGGGGACTGCCAGCCAGCTCACCGCCACTTCGTCGCAGCCGAGGAACAGTATGGCCATGAGGATGTAGGGGACCACCTCTGTCACGACATTCTCAATTTCGGCAATCTCGGCCCAAATACCAAACGGAAGCAGCACCTGCAGGCCCAAGGCGACCGGAGCCAGCGGCTTTTGCTATGCTTCGCGCCAGGGCGGGCTGGAGCAAAACTCACCAGCCAGATGATAAGGAAGCCGGAGCTCAGCTGGGTGAGGCTCGCCGAGATGGGCGTCTGGCGCAGGCGCTCGCAGTCGTCTGCGCTGCCCACCCCCGTCCCGATGGCATAGCTAATGTCGCCAACCAGCTTGCACTGCGCACAAGTGGCAGGGTGGGGTTGGTTGGCATGCAGGCTGGCTGGCAACGCTGGGTACATGACGGCATGTCTGCTGCTGCGACGGTGATGGTGGTGGTGATGGTTGTCCTGTGTAATCAGTGTGTGGATGGACGGGGGACAGGCAGGCGTGGCGGGTCCAGCCTGCCAGCACAGCCGCGCCAGCGGCTTCACCTGCTTGGGGTCCAACCCTGCCGCGAGCCGCTTCAGGGCAAGCGATGCCACCAGATGCGGCTTGGGCGCGGTAGCCATCAAGTCCAGCTCGCCCCGGCTCAGCAGCGCTGCCGCCTCGGGGGCCAGCGCTGTGTCATGGCCCACCAACTGCAGCAAACTGCGCCAGCAGTGCGGCGCAGGAAGCGCGACTGTGGCCAGACTTGAACGTGGCTGTGGCCACTGGGCGGGACAGCAAGCCGCATGTTCCAGGCAGGAATCCGTGCACACCGCCCAAGGTAGCCCCACCTATACTGCCACACAATGGCCCACCGCACAAACTCGGCCACTTTAGCAGCGTCAGCCCCGCCGGCCGCCACTGACTGAACGATGTTGGTGCACTGGCTGGACACGTTGCCAAAGGCATGCCGCGCCACCTTCCTGAGTGCATGGGCCCCATCCAACACACAGCGAGGAAAAGTCAGCTGGCTGCACGGGCCCGCTGTCCGTTGTTGCATGCACGTACCGACGTAGAGGGGTTGGTGTTCCCATCCCTCACTTACATGCGATCGTAGCCCTGGGACATGCGCAGCGACAGCAGCAAGGACAGCACAAAGGAGCAGAGCTGGAAGATCGTCCTTGTTGTTTGATATGCGTCCAGGGCCCAGAGGTTGGGGCAGCAGGTCGCCCTGCACAGCCAGCCAGCAAGGCAAGATTAACATGGAAACCACATGGAAACCCACCCCCCATGGAAACCTCCACCACGCACCTCATGTACTCCCATGCCAGCACCATCAAGCACACGAGCGCTGATACAGAGAGGGGCAGCATGATGTTGAAGAGGATGTGAGAGGGCGGCCCAATGTAGCAAAATATTGCGGCAATCCAGCGGCGCTGGGATTTGTGCTGGGCCCATTGCTGGGACGTCCACAGCTTAGATGTGTCTGGCCTGCGTGGCGGCGGGCGGCGGCGGTGGCGGCGGCGGAGAAAGAAATGTCACAGCGTGATTACAACTCAGCGGCAGCTACATGTGGACGTTGCTCAGCAAGTCCCAGCGTTGCAGCAGTGCTGCTCAAGTAACCAGTTCAAGCACCCCACCCGTTTGGTGCGTATCCATGCATTTACCTCCTTGAGTAAAACAGAGAGTGGTACAGCGCGAGGAGAGGCGCCATAGGACGAAAAAGCCTGCCAGGCGGGAGCTCCCATCTCGCGCTCCCAAGGCGCGGCATCGTGTGTGATGACAGCGGCACAGTACTCAAGGAATCACATGAGGAGGGCGAATTGAACGGATGTTATCATGTTATGAATAAGGAGCCTGTTGTTGTGTGTGTAGACTGACGTGGCCTTGCATGTCAATTCTGCAGGCGGGAAGGGCTGATCGGTCAGAAAGGCCCTCCAGGCAACAGGCTGCTGCGTTGTCGCACCAGTTCCTCACCCCCCTGCCTTCTCAGCACTGCACCCTACCCCAGGTGCCCCCTCCCAGTCTCCGTTCGCCTCCCTGAGCAGGTGCGGGACTCTTGTGTGGACCTGCAACTCCATTTCAGCCGTCCCGGCTGGAGGCTGGAGCGGGGGCCTGCAGGGGCACAAGGCGCCGCCCCGCCTGCCGCTCTCGGCCATCGGCACCGTGGATTAGGGCTGCTGCTTATCAGTACCTTTGCCTGACCTTGCGCAGCACCTCCTGTCAGCAGGTGTCTGAATAGCGCCGCTCGTTGCCCTCGCTCCCAATGCCTGCAGATTTTTTCTGCTGCCCTATGGCCCACTGGCTGCCCCAATCGCTCTTCCTGGCTGCCGAGGCCGGCGACGAGGCTGCTGTGCGTGAGCTGCTGGCCCTTGGCACCCCCGCCGACGCACCCAACGGTGCCGGCGAGCTGCCGCTGCATGCCGCCAGCGCATGCGGTCACACGGGCGTGGTGCGGCAGCTGCTGGAGGCTGCCCCGGGAACAGCATCCGCTGCCAGCTGCTTCGGCAGCACGCCCTTGCACAAGGCTGCAGCGGCGGGCCACCTGGATGTGGCAAGGCTGCTGTTGGAGGCCGCGCCGGCCACAGCGTCAGCAGCATTGGCCAACGGAAAGACACCGCTGGCTCTGGCCACGCAATTCGGCCACGCAGACGTCGTGCAGCTGCTGCTGCTGCCCGCGCGCGCGGTGACCTGAACAGATTTGGCACCTTTTCGAATGAAGCTCCCCTTCTGACCTGGATCCACCCCAACCACTTGAGCAATACGTGGTGTTGTACCCTTTGAGCACTGTTGTATAGCCGATTTCATATGATGCCTAAACCCTGTTTCTGTTTGACAAAGAACCCGTCTGATGCCACCCCAGCGAGGCATGCACACAGGGGCGTGGGTTGGCTGGACCGTGTGCCAGGGCCAGCGTGCACGAGTACGCAAATGGCCGACTCACTTCTGCGAGCTTCAGTGCTTTTCCAGATTGGTGCAACCATGATGGCAGCCATGATGGCAGTGCGGGCCGCGCGACAGGGAGGTGCGGGGTGAACCAAGGTAGCGGCTGATGCGAGCCGGCATCTGCGCTGCATCCCTCCTGTCCGTTGTGGCTGTCGTTGCAGGCATTGATCCGCACAGGCGGGGTGCCGGCACCCGGCAGCATAGCGCAGGCGGCAGCAGCAGGGGGGGTGCCGGCAGTCGGGGGCGGGCGGCGGCGGGCGGGGGCGGCGGCGGCAGATACCCCATCGTTGCCGGCCGCTGCCGCTTGACAGCTGCAAATGTGCAACCTTCACATGCAACAAGTGATGTTGCAAACACGGTTGAGGTGATGCCGGCCGAGCTGAGCACCTGTGGGGGACGCGGCCCGCCACCGGGTGCCATCGGGCTGTCTCAATGCCATCGGGCTGTCTCAATGCCATTCTGCCAACCTATACATCACCGATTCCACTGGATCCCCTTCCCAGAGCGCTGTCCGGCCAGTTTCCAGTCAGCTCCGGTCAGCTACCAAACCCGAAGCTTCGAAACGGGGACTCCCGTCTGCATTGCCCCGCTTGGCAATCGGACTTGTCGGGGCAGGGCAGCCTTTTTAATGACAGAAATCCCGGAGGATCCCCCGCGATCGGCCATCTGCCATCTGGCACCTGGCGAAACGCGTCACGATTTGGCGGCGCCCTATAAAAGCGGCCTCCACACCAACCCGACACCATTCAATCCACTCTTCATCCTTCCCCAACTCTCTCCCCGCCCCCTAGCCCCCTGCCCACCACCCCCCATGGCCCGCTTCGCCCTCCTTCTGGTGTGCTGCCTGGCGGCCGCGATCACCGTGCGCGGCGCCGATCCCGAGGTCTGCAGCTCCGACGACTGGGATATCATTGCCCTGCCGCCCGTGCGGGACACAGACGAGGCCGTTGCCTCCAACCAGCTGGCCCGTTTTGTAGCCAACACCATCCGCCTGAAGCCGGACTGCAAGGTGGGGACTTGCATTTGCAAGCGAAAGGAGGCGGGTTTGGGGCCGCTTGGCCCGCTGATGATGATGGCGTCGCCGCTCATGGAGGGATGACGGATGCCGCCGCCTTGCCGCCGCCGGGCCTTGCATGGCGGCTGGCCCGCTGCTCACGCCTTGCTGTCGGCACTGACCGGGCCCCATCTGCCTCCGCTGCGCTTCTTCCCGCTTCCTCCCGCCCGCAGGTCCTGAAGAGCCGCACCAAGTTTGAGAAGGCGTGCAGCATGGCGGTGGAGAAGGGCGATGTGCTCGAGCGCGACGACACCAAGGCCAAGGCGACCGGCACCCTCTACGACATGGTCATCGTGTCCAGCGTCAAGTGCCCGGTGAGTGGTGGAGTGGGCAGGCGGCACCTGGGGGTCAGCCCTGCCAGGCAGCGCGCCCGTGCCCGCCCAGCGCCAGCCACGGCCCAGCCTGCCCCGCTTCCGGGCCCTTCCGCCCAGCCCCAGCGCCCCGGCGCATGCGCAGGCGCCCCAGCCTGTCTGCCTCTCCCACAGCTGCTCGTCCCTTCCTTGCCACTGACCGAATGCCCTCCCCTCCTCCCCTGCCCCGCCCCCCTCCCGCAGAACGGCCACTACAAGGTCCGCTACGAGGCGCGCGGCATTAAGCCCAAGTCCGGCAAGTCCACCAAGCGTGAGTCCCCCCGCGCCAGCCGCCGCTGCCGCCCAGCACTGCCATGCAGTGCGTGTGGACACCCGCCCCCTGACCTCACGCGCCCGCATGCGCTGCCCGCCGCCGGCGCCTCCTCGCTGCCCCCACCACCTCGCGCCCGCCGTCCCTCACTCGTGTGCCGCCCTCCCGCCCGCTACCGCGCAGTCAAGGGCATGCAGACCCGCCTCATCGATGTCTTCGACTCCTACTTCGCCTAGGCACGCAGCTAAGGCCCCACCCCTTCAGCGCGTCGTCGCCACCCCCCCTTGCCAGCGGCAGCCCAAGCCTACGGCACTCTGCGGCCATCGCCACCTCGCCCTAGATCAGCTTGAAACCCGGCCCTGCACAGCACATAGCAGGCATGCCTTTTTGACGCGCGTCGATAGCACAGCGGAACAGCAGCCCCCTGCCCCAAACTCAACGCAGCCCCTTGCACCCAACTCAAAAAACGCGATCACTCCCCCCGCACTTGCACCCAATTCCAGTTGTATCGTTTATTCGCTCGTCTTCTTTGGCTAGGACCCATGTTGTATCTCTTGCACACATCCCAATGCATTGTGCATTGATTTTCCTGTCTGCCTCATTACTGCACTGTCTTCCTCACTGTACTCTTGTGTTGACTCGAGCAATCGCTGAGCGTGTAATCGCGAAACAAACTCCTCATGGCACAGCTGCTGTGGCGCACTGGATGCTGAGCCTGCCGACCCTACCAGGGCTGTGCTGCTGATGGCAGCTCAGCTTTGGATCTGGCCCTGCCCTGCTTGCTCTGGGCTGGAGCGGGCCGGCAGGCAGGGCGGCACAGGACATGGGCGGGCAGCGGCGCTTGTCCAGCCCAGCTTCACTGTAAGCACGGAGGTCGGTGCCGCCCAATTCATCACATCTTTGGCAGCTCATGGCGCATGTCATTGCTGGAAGTTGACGCCCAGGTCTTGCGCCCGCAGGCTGGCCACCTCCCGCCCCACGCGCTCGCCGCCCGCCGCCCCCAGGACCAGCCGGTAGGGCTGCCGCAGCGGGATGGTCTTGCCGGGGGTGGAGATGACCCAGTAACCTGCAGGTGGGGAGGTGAGTGCAGCTGAGGGCCGCTGCAGCACCCGCGCGCGCACGTGCGCGCACGTGCGCACACGCACACACACACCACACATGCACCACCAGCCACCACACCTCACCCTTCGCCACCACCACCGCCACCCTGCCGCTCCCCCTCCCCTTGCCCACCGTAGTCTGTGGGCTGCATTTTGACGCCGTTCAGGGCCACCCCCCGCAGCGGCCTCCTCAGGTTGGAGAACTGCAGGCCCAGGAAGTCGTCGGTGGTGCTGGGGGAGGGCCAGAGGCGGATGCCGCCTGCGGCGCAGGCGCGGCGCGGGGGTGGCAGCGGCACGACGCGGCCGTGGGGGGCCCAGCAAGCAGCACTGCTGGCAGGAGGGTGGCAGGTTTGAGGCTCCACCTGGCCTGCGCGCCTCAAAACCTGCTGCCGGGCAGGCTGGGCAGGCTGCCGCTGGGCGGGGCCACGCTGCCGCCACCGCGCCTGCATGATGCATCAGGGTGCCGTGCCGGCGTGCCTGCCCTGCCGCCTGCCCTCCCGCCCGTGCACCTTGAATGAGCGGGGCGCAGGACACAAAGGCCCAGGCCACTTGGATGGAGGGGGTGAGGTCTGGGTTGAGCCCTCCGGTCAGGGCCGTGAAGCCGGGGGTAGACACCACCAGGTCTCCCGCCCCGCAGTCGGCGCAGCTGTCCGTCACCATGAAGGTACGGTTGCTCACTGCGGACAGGCAGGCCAGGCAGGGAATGCGGCAATGGGCCGGCCGGCGGCGGATTCCACCACGCGAGCACCGCGCCGCTCTGCCGCATGCGCGCTGCGGTGGCGGCTGCGATGGCGCCGCGGCGGGGCCCCACCGCAGTTGCCGGGCCCTGCCTGCTGCCTGGCGCCGCCGGCGCCTGCCGCGCTCACCCAGCGCGCCCTCGCAGGCGGCGTCCACACACCACAGCGACACGCACACGCCGCAGGGCTGGCCCGAGCCGTAGAGCTCCTGGGAGATGCCTGGCAGCAGCACAAAGGAGGTAGCGCCTGACTGGTGGCCAGCTGGCGACAGCTGGCGCAAACCAGCAGCACAGTGCGGCAGCAGCCGGCCGCCTGCCGCTCAGCAAGCCGCACAGCAAGCCGCCCAGCAAGCCGCCCAGCAGCCCAGCCACCCGGCCCGCCGCCCAGGCGGGCAAGCAGCCGGGCTCCAGCTCATCGTGCACAGCGCTCACCCACAAAGTGCGCGGCAAAGTGGTTGTTCAGGTACGCGATGCCGCAGTTCATGTTGGCGCCGTCCAGGTTGCCCACAGCCCTGCGGCCGGTGGCAGCAGGGGGTGGGGCGAGGTGGTGGTGGTCAGGGGTGGTGTGCGTGGCATGTGAGAGTGTGTGCCACGGGCGGGCAGGCGGTCTCGCTGTTAGGGGCTGGCGCCGCCGCAGAGAGGCGGCTGGGCAGCAGCCAGGCTCCAGACGGCGCTGCTGGCTGCAGGCGCAGCGCCCACAGCCTGCAGGGCGAGCAGCCTGCCAGACGGGCTCGCCTCTGATACACGACGGTGGCTCTGCCCTGGCGCAGCTTTCGAAGCTTGGGCGCCGCCTCCTGCTGCTGCGGGCTCAGGTCAGGCATGGCAAAGCCAGGGGGCGGATCCAGCAGGCTGACCATCTGGCCTGCAGGTGGGTAGGCAGGGCAGGCGGGCAAGCAGTTTGGCAAGCAGGGCAAGTGGGGCTAGAGAGGCACGGGAGGCAGCAGTGCCCCCTGCACTGGGCGAGCAGCAGGCATGCCGCATCCCACCGATGCGCTGAGATGGCTCTGCCTGCTGCGGGGCATCGCCAGTCTGTTTAGTGGGGGCGCCATCGGGTGGGATGCTGCCAGCCTGGACGTCGTCAGCGGCGAACAGGGCCGCCAGGTCGGGGAGTAGATCCGCGGCCGCCTGCTCGCCGCCGCTGTCAGCAAACGCCTGATCCGTGGGCTGCTGCTGCTCGTCCGTCCTGCACAGCCACAGGCTGCTGGTAAACGTCATGCAATGCGCGGCAGGCTCGTGCTGGCTCTGCCTTCTCCTGCGCGCACCTTGATGTGCCGGCGGCGGCACCGGCGGCGGCGGCGGCAGGCGCCTCCTCGGCTGCCGGCGCTTGGGCTGCCAGAGGCGCGACCGCGCTGTAGGTCGTCTGCGCATATGCGTGGGACGTCAGCAAGGCTGCACCCAGAACCAGAGCAAGGTAGATGGTGCGAGGTTGGCCGGTGGCTGCCACATGCTGCCGCATTCCGCCTGCAACCTTCGTTGAGAAAGATGGGAGGCGACTATAGAGGGCTGCCGAGCAGGAATGGGCGAAAGAGAAGACGTCTCTAGTGCCTGCAGGGGGTCGATTCGTCCAGGAATTTCGGCGGGACCCCTCAATGCTGCTCCCCTCGTGCCAGTTCCTGTTTTCAACATGAAACTTCCATGCCCCTCCTTGGCAACTCAGCTGCCACCCTGATAGCTCACTCGGTGCGTGCATGCGTTTTTTTTACAGGGCGGCTGCGCAGCGGTTGGCAGCGGGGCAGCGCCTTGTATGTTTTTTCGTTGGTTGGGGAAGCAAGCCCCGAGGATATGAGAAGCAAATGCGGTGGGGCGAGTGGAGAAACAGCGCTGAGCACACGTAGCAGAGGAGAGAGAGTATGCGACGGCGGGGCCGGCCGAGGGGCGGGGCAAACAACAGGACGACCGAGGGCCAGCCCCGCCGCCCAACCTATTGTCGGGGTGGCATCGCAGAAAGGAAAAAATGAGGGCCGGCGCGTCTATCACAGCCACCGGGCGGCAACAATCAAGGGGATGGAGGCTCTCGAGGAGGGTGGCTGACGAGAACGGGAGTACTCATAATGCACACAACGGGAAAAGGGCCCAGGTGGGGCGCGACGCTGTTTGTTTTTGTTGCAATGCTTTCTGCTACTAAAAACAGGTGCAAAGTTGAATATAATCAGGGAACAAGCAACGTGCAAGGGAGGGCTCTTGTGCAGAGGCCAGGTGTGTGCTACAGGGTCAGAAGGGGGCAGGTTCTTTTTTGTTTTTCTGCGGAGGGGGGTGCGGCATGAAACAGGGGCGCATCAAGCGCATGGGGTGGGTCAACGGGGGTGCAAAAGGCAGCGCATGCGCGCGGTTTTCTTCTCGTGGTATGCATGGGCGCGCACGCGGGGCGCAATGTGGTGAAGCAATCAGGGGGGGAGGTCTGTGGGCGGGGCGGCAGATAAAAAACGAGCCCCCCGCCCGAGTCAGAAGGGGGACGGGTTGCGCATCGCGCGGATACGGCGCGTGGGACAGAAAGAGGGGAACAGCAGAGGAGGGGGGTGGGGTGCGCTCACGGCGTCGTAAAATCGGAGGAAGCTGGTTGGCTGTTTCTTTTGTGTTGTTTTCTGGTGCGTGGATCGCCGCGTCGGCAGCGGTCGCTCATCAGAGAGGCAGGCAGGTGGGTGGGGCGGGGCAGCGCGCGCGCCGGGCCCGCTCAGAACAGGGGTGGGAAGAAGGCGGGTGCGTCGGGGAAGTCGAGCGCCAGCAGCGACTCGGTGTCGAGGTAGGAGGGGGCGGGGCCGGGGGAGAGGAGGAAGGCGGGGTCGAGCAGCTCGGCGTCCAGCTCCTCAAGGAAGGCGGCGGGCGAGGTGTAGGCGGGCTCGCCCGTGGTGGCGGCCGTGGTCGCCGTGGAGGCGGCCGGGGCGGGCGCCGGCGGCGGCGCCGCCGCCGGGGTGGCCGCCTCCAGCTCCACCGCCGCCGCCATGTCAAGCTGGAAGCCGGCCGCGGCTGTGGTGAAGATGGAGTCGATGTCGTCGTACATGTCGTCATAGGAGGCGGGGTCGCAGGGCGGCCGCGCGGCGACGCCGCCGCACGCCCCCAGCAGCAGCTCCACTAGGCTCTCCTCTTCGTCGGTCGCAGCCTCGCTGGCCGTGGGCGGCAGCGGCAGCAGGGGCGGCAGCGGGGCCAGCGTGGTGGGCGACGAGCGCCGCGGGGGCGCCGCCAGCAGGGCCGCAGGGGCCGGGGGCGCCGGTGCGGGCGCCGCGGGCCAGCCTCCCAGCAGGAAGTCGCCCCAGGTCTGGCCAAACAGGCGCTGGGTGCGCTCGTGCAGCCCCTTGACGCCCACTTCCAGCATCTTGCTGGCAGTCTGCAGGCAGGGGGGCAGGCGGGGAGGGGCGCGGGCGACTCAGCATCCGGGCAAGGGACGGGAGGAGGCTGGCTGGCTGGCGTGGTGGCGGGGCTGGCTGGCAGGCAGGGGATAGCAGGGCAGGGGCTGGCAGGGCAGGGGCTGGCAGGGCTACCGGCGGCAGGCAGCCAACACTACCACCACGGATCGCTGCCCACCGCAGCCCACCCCACCCACAGCAGGCCGCATTCGGCGCCCAAGCAAGCTCACCTTCTCGGGCACAGCCCCAGGACGTGCGCGCAGCGGGCCCAGGCAGTCCCTCAGGAAGAGCAGCTCCTCTGCCTGGGCCGACCGGTCGCTGTGGCTCCCCCCGCCGCCCGCCATGGCGCCTGCGGGGCCGGGCGTCACCACCGTCCACCGCTCCCTCTTCAGGAACTCTTGCAGGCGGGTCATGCGCACCGCGGAGGCAAAGGTGAAAGGCACGGGCAGGCTGGTGGTCACGCCGCCGCGCTGGATGGTCAGCTCAAAGGAGGGGACGGACGGGCTGTAGGCCTGCAGGCGCGCATGCGTGGGGGGCGGCGGCGGGCGGTGGTCAGTGGTCAGGCGCTGGGAGCGCCAGATGTGACGGGGGCATGCGGCAGGTGGCTGAAGAGCGCGCAAACTGTGTTTTGCGGGTGGCGGCGCGTGCCAAGTCCCAAGTCCCAAATTATGTGAGCCGCCGAATCGGGGCCTCACCTGGCGCATGGCGGCGGTGCTTGGCTGCGCGGGGGTGCCGTGGGTGGCAGCGGCGGCCGAAGCCCCGCGCCGTGGGCCGAAGCCCCTAGTGGAGTTCTTCAAGAGCTGAGTGCCGGTGACCTACTTCTTTAACACCTGTCAACCATTGTGACAGGAAAGGGGGGGAAGGGAGTTGGGAATGGGGCAGCAGGAGCAGAGAGAGAGCTCTTCTGTGCCCATTCCTCGCCTTTCTTTTTGTGCATGGGAAACTACCGTGTTTGCGACCTGTAAGGAACCTGCAGGTCGCTGGCCTAACCGGCACCCAACCAATCCACGAGTAGAGGGTTCTAGAGGAATGCCCCAGGCGAGCGGCGGCGGGCGGGAGGGTGCTAGCGGGCGCCCTGTTACCGCCCGCCGCTGCCGCGGCGAGGAGCACCTGTGTCTTGCTGGCGTGGGCATTCACATAACTGCCTTGATCAGCAACCCCCGAGCCAAGAGCAAAGGTCCTCGTTACCCTCAGGATATGAGCGTGTCGCTGGTATGGCGTAGGGCTGACCACACGCCGAGCTGCCACGCTCTTCCCACCCTGGCTTTTACCGCATTGCGCGGGGCTGTGGATTACAAAATGTGAACGGGGCACGCGCATTTTTGTTCAATGTTACCAGAACAGGGATTGGATGCAGGAGGACCAGCTCAGACAAAATGGACATGGGATCAGGCAGGCAGAGGCTGGCGCGGGCGGCCGACTGGGTGCCGCATGGGCAGCGGGCAGGGCACAGCCAAAAACTTGGGAAAGAAGCACAGGAGGCGTGCATGCATGGGAGGGGCGCACTGCTGTGGGGTGGGGCGTTCGCGCCAGAAGAAAAGCGGGGGTGCATGCACAAAGGCAGGTGTGTATGGTACAAGAAAGAAGGGGGGGGGAGCGCTGCGTGGCAGCAGGCCAGTACAAGTGTTGCAGTGGTGGCAAGTACAATGAAAGGGCACAAAGATCCCGCTCGGCCAGCGCCATGCGGTGTGTGCTTGTGTGCCACTGAAGATGCAGAGAAGGGGCACACGGGTGGCGCGCCAAGTGTGTGACACACCACGCCAACAAACACAAGGTGCGGGGGCAACGGGAGCAGGCAGGCGGTTTGTTTGGGCGCCGAGGAGCAGAGGCGGAACAGGTGCCTGAGCTGAAGGGCGCGGCGGCCTGGATGAGCTGCCAACAAAATGGTGGCGCAAAAGCGGCGGCGCCCGAATGCCGGGCGGCACCAGATGCAGCAGGGCGAGAAGGCCTGGCCTACCGGGTCCTACCTAGGGCGGTCGTAAGCGGCGGCAGCAGCGGCAGCACCAGGCGCCGCCGCCGCCGCCGGGCAGCCTTGCGGCTGCTGCCAGCTGACGCTGGCCTCGATCTACTCTCACATCTAACCTACTACCCTCAGCTGCTGGGAGGCACACACGAGTGCTGTGGTGCTCACTGCTGACGCAGGGAAGACAAGGCGGGGTGCAAAACTGCACCCGGGCGCCTGCTGCTGCTGTGCAAGGGGCTGCCGCGAGTGGCTGGCTGGGCGGCGGCTGGCTGGGCGGTGCCGCCCTCAGCCGCGGCTGCCCCAGCTGCCCTCTGCCGCCTCCAGGCCGGCATCCATGGCGGCGCGGCGAGCGTTGCGGCGCGCGCGGCGCCCGCTGCCGCTGGGGCTGCTGCCGTAGATGGCGGCGCCGCCAGAGGCGCCGGGGGAGCTGCCGTAAAAGTCGGCGGCGCCAGTGGGGAAGGGCACTGCAGGCAGGCAGGCAGGGAGGGAGCATATGAAGACAAGCTCAAGTGCTGGGCGGCGCTGCTTGGCTGGCAGTCCGGGATGCACAGCGCTGCCAACCACGCGGCGGCAGGAGCCAGGAGCAGTAGTGGCAATGGAAACGGCAGCAGCAGGCGGGCACGCACCTGGGGTGCTGCTGCTGGTCCCCGCGCTGCCGGGGCGCGCCTTGCGCCCGCCGCCGGCGTTAGGGGTGCGGAAGTTGGCGGGGGCGGGGGGCACGGGCGGCGTGCCCACCACCGCGTGCTCGCCGGCCTTGCCCATCTTGTTGCTGCGCTTGCGCTCCACTACAGGCCGCGCCTGGCGCCGCCCGCCGCTGATGAAGCCGCCTGCACAGGCACGGGGCCCAGCCGCACACAGGTCAAGGTTGGAGAGGGTAGAAGCAGCGTAGAGGCAGCGCGCAGCACGCTCCCCTCTGCTGGGCCCCGCGGCAGGCGCAGCACAGCAGCACGCCGCCCGCGCCGCCGCCCAACAGCCGGTGCGCCAGCCGGCCAGCAGCCAGCCAGAGCCGACAGGCAGCAGGGGCGCACCCTCGCCGTAGCGGCGGTTGCCAAGCACCACACGCGCGCGGCCTGCGGCTGAGGAGAAGTAGAAGGACTCGATCTCCTCGTCCTCTCCCAGGTCGTAATCCCCCGCATACTCCTGCAGGCGCCAGCGGCCCGGGCGGCACACAGGCAGCGCAGGCTCCAGTCAGGCGGCCTGCGCCCAGCTGCTGCCCCTCTGCTGTCTGCCCGCTACTCTTTGCGAACCATGCACTGCTGCTGCCCAGAGGCTTGGCGCAGCGCCTCGAGTCCTGCTCCCTGCCTGCCACATCCAGCGCCTCTGCCCCGCCGCCGCGCACCTGCCAGGCCATCTGGTCTGCCAGCCGGCTCTCCTCCACCAGGCTGGCACTGCCCCGGTCCACAAAGCGCAGGTGCTCCTCAAACCAGGGCGCGCGCTTCAGCAGGCACACCGGCTCCTCAGCGGGAAAGTCCTGCGGTGGGGAGCAAGAGGCGAAGGCGCAGGGCCGGCACGGCAGGGTTGAGAAGGCAGCAGAGCACGAGGCGGCAGCTGCCCAGCATCACACGCTGGCTGCGCTCAGCAGGCTGGGCTACATCTGCCTGCGCCACTGCTGGCTGCCACACCCGCACAGGGCTCACATTCAGCCCTCCATCCAGGGAGCGGTAGGTGAGGAGGTAGGAGAAGGGCTGCTTGCACTGCGGGCACCAGGGCTCCTCCTTGTGCAGCGCCCAGTGCAGGATGCAGGTGGCGCAGTACATGTGGTCGCAGCCCTGCGGTACAGGCAGCCAGCAGTGCGGCAGTGGGCAGGCAGGCAGGCAGGCAGGCAGGCAGGGCAGGGGGACGAGCGTAAGCGCAGCAAGCCCAGCTAGCCGGCAGGGCGCCTCACAGGGCTGCCTGCCGCACCTTGACCAGGGCCATGTTTTCCAGAGGAATGCCGCCCAGGCAGATGGCACAAGTCAGGTCGCCTGGCTCAGAGCCGCGCGGGCTCTGCGGCGCGGCCTCCTCCTCCTCCTCCCCCGCCGCGCCGCTGCTCCCCGCGCCGTCGCCGCTCCCGCTTGCACCCCCTGCCGCCTGCACCGCCGCCTCCTCCTCCTCCTCCTCCTCCTCGGACAACGGGCGCTTGCCCTTGTCGTCCTGCAGGCGGAGGAGAGGGAAGGAGTTTGGTTGAAAGCGATGCTGCTGGTGGCTGCGGCAAGCGGGCCGTGGCTGGTAGCGGCGTCGGCGCCGTGGGTGGTTGACCCGTGGGCTCCGCGGGGGGCCCCGCCGACAGCCCCGCGTCGCTGCTGCAAGCTTGGGGGAAGAGGGCGAGGCGGGCAGCCGCGTCCGCTTCAAAAGCAGCGGGGTGCAGGCGCAGAAGCCGGCCTCACCCAGTCCCAGTCGTCAAACTGGTGCACCAGCTGCTCCTCCTCCATGTCTCCTGGCTGGTCGGCGGTGGTGGGCGTAGCCGGGGTGGCTAGGCAGGTGGGCGAGGGTGTGAGAGCGGGCGCTGCCCGTTCAGGCGACGCTGCAGCCGAGCCCGCGCCTGCTCCAGCTCCAGCAGCGGGCCCAGATGTCCCAGCAGGAAGGCAAGCCCAGCGGTAGCGGCTACACCAGCCCCGACACCCCAAACCTCCCCAAGCACGCTACTGTCCCGTTTGCACTCTGAAGAACGCGTGGTAAGTGAGTGGGTGGCTAAAAAGCCCAAGAACGTTTGGCGAAACGCGAGGCATGAGCGGTGCGCCACGGACTTGACACCCCGCGGGACGTTTTTGTACGGCAGGCAACCTACACACATCTCCCTGCATCTCCTCGCATTCTGATCACGCAAAAATGCTGCCCCGGTGCATCGAGGGCAGGTGGCGAGGCCCCAGCTGGCTTGCGCTCTGACTTTGTGTTGACTCGAGCCGATCGAGACCTGCCCATCCCCCGGGCTTCCCTTGCAGTGACTGTGGAAGGGCGGCGAGTTTGTGGCAGGTGTACCCGAGGCGCCGCACTGCCTGCACCCGGTAGTGGCTGGTCCACTCCCGCTGCACATCCCCACCGCACCGCCGCCAACCCCTGTTCCCTCGCCGCAGCACGCCCCGCCATGAGCCTGTCTGATGTGGTGTCCAACCTGCGGGCCCCGCTGACCACGCGGGTGGCCGACAAGCCCACGGTGCGGGTGCACTCGGTGGAGTGGCGCAAGATCATGGCGGGCGAGCCCGTGGAGATCAACCCCTCGGTGAGGCTGTAGCCCAGGGGCAGCGCCTGCAGCAGCGGGCGCAGAGAAGCGGGCGGCAGGCAGGGGAGGGAGGCTCTCAGCCTATGCAGAAGGTTGGGAGAGGTCGGGCCACCGGCGCGGGTGGCAGCAGCGCTCACCCACCGCCCGCCCGCCCGCCTTCCCTGCTGGCCATGCCCTCACCCTTGCCTCTGCGCCCTCCTCCCGCCACCAGGTGGGCCACGGCTACCGCGTGATGAGCGTGGACGAGTGGAGCGCGCGGTGGAAGCAGAACGAGGCCTTCCCCGAGTGCCTGCAGTGCGGCAGCAAGAACACCAAGGAGCACCACTTCACGCAGGTGGGGCGGGCGTGTGCGCGACGTGGCGGTGCTGGAGGCAGGGTGGGGGTGGGGGGGCAGGGCAGCGGTTGCGTGGTGCCAGCCCGGCCTGCGTAGCTGAGGATGGGAGCTCTTTCAGAGCCGCCGCCTGTGTTCGACCACCACCACCACACCCACATGCGCCAACCACCAGCTCTGCAACCTACTCAACCCCTCCCTCCCCGCCCCCTGGCGCGCGCAGACGTGGTGCCGTGGCAAGAAGAAGTGGGAGAGCGAGTGCCTGTGCCGGGACTGCCACTCCTTCTCCTTCCGCTCCTACTGCGACCCAGACTTCAAGACGCCCGAGGACTTTGAGAAGGAGCGGTGGCAGGTGGGGCGGGGCCCGAGGCACACATCACGAGGGGGTGGCAATGTGGAGGCAGAGCAGGGAGGGACGGCTGCAAAACGCGAGCAGGGAGGGAGGTGCAAGCGGGACAGCCGGGGAGAGGGTGGTGGCGGATGGCGGGGTGGGGACTTAGGAGTGCATGGCTGCTCGCCATCAAACCGCTGCCCAACCACCTGCTGACCAGGCTGGCGTGTGTCATGAGCGCGCTGCTGCGCTGCGCTGGGCTGTCTGCAGGCACTGGCCAAGGGCGAGGCCGCCAAGCCGGTGCCCGTCAGCTAGGCTCGGCAGGAGCAGCAAGCAGCTGATGAGGGTCGGGCATCAGCAGCCTGTGTGTTGGCGAAGCTACCTGCCTGCCTCTCATGCTGCACAAACGCCAGATGTACTCGGACCCAGCCCACTCTGCGGTCCCTGTTCCGCCTGGCAGGAAAGGTCCCTGCCCCACCCTTGGTGTGCGTCTTGGTGGTGTTGCAACCGCGGCTCGGCAGAGCCGGGGTAGAGGAAGTGTGGCAGTGAAAACATGTGAATAAAAAAGAAAGAATGAATGCAAGATGGGAACAGTGCGGGGCAGGACCGGCCAGGGGGCGCTCCTGGACAGGCCTGGCTCCCTGCTACCGCCGCCACCAGACTTTGTCCTGATCTGACAGCTCCTGGCTGCAGGGCAGTATCCCCAGATCAGCGGTACAGCTGCGGTACAGGCGGTGCACCCACTTGGCCGCAGGCTGCGAGAACTTGCGCGCCAGCAGCAAGCAGCGGGGGCCCAGCGCCGAGGCTGCAGGCAGTGGTGCCGGGGCAGGGGAGGGCAGAATGGAAGTCAGCAGGCAAAGCATGCACAGGCCTCCTCCTGGTTGCCTCACCAGAAGCAGCAAGGCAGGGCAGGCAGCAGCCCGAGCCAAAGGCACGCTTTGGTGACGATCAGGCGCGACCGCCTGCCCGGCTGGCCGCCCGGCTCTTGCCTGCAAATGGATCCGCCTGCAGGTAGTCTGCGCTGCCCAGTGTGGCGGGGCAGCTGCCTTCCGTCACAGAGCTGGCATCCACAAACGCGGAGCGTGCCGCCTGCGTCGCCGCTTTCCACCCCGCGCAGCTCTGCCGGTCCGCCTCGCTGGCTGCCTCGCTCAGGGAATGCCCCGGCGACAGCCGAATCTCGGCAAACAGCCCTGCTCGGGAGGGAAGGCGAGGGGGCACGCACCAGGGAACCACTCACGCACCAACTTGACGGCAGGCAGGCGGCAGGCTGGCGGCATGCACTTGCCTCCGCTCCAGGCATTGGCAGCCGGCAAGGCGCCTGCAGCCACCCACCTGCGCCGATGTGCCCCGGCTGGTACAGCTTGGGGTGCCCTCCCTCCGGCGTGTCCACCGCCGCCTCCCAGGACGCGTACGTGCCGCCAGTGAAGTCACAGGTTGTCTGCAGGCAGAACAGGCAGCCCAGCCAAGCAGGGCAGGCACATGCCAGTGTCAGGGCAGGGCAGGGCCACAGCTGGGAGGCACTGTGGGGCGTGTGCACAAGCACGCGGGAGGCGCGGCGGGGCCCGGCGCGCAGTGCAAGCTGGGCACGGCTGGCTGGCTGGCTGGTTGGGGGTGCGCAGCTCGCCTCATTGTCCAGCCCATGCATGGCCAGCAGCGAGGGCAGGTAGTGCTCGTCGCTGATGCAGTCGCGGTGCCTGCAGCAGCCGTGGGGAGCGGGTTGAGGTGATGGAGGGGAGCGGGCGAGCATGGCAGTGGGTAGAGCAGGGTGGCGGGCTGGGCAGCCGAGGCAGAAGGCAGCGGGGCAGGCTGGAGGCGGTGCCGCGGCGCAGCGGCGCTGGAGCGCAGGCAGGCCGGCCCACCGCCCCGTTGCGCCGCGCCGCTCACCGCTTGATCTGCTCGTCCCATCCCACGTTGCAGTGCTTGCCAAACAGGGACACCACCTCGCGGTCAGCGGCAACCAGGTCGGCGTGCCTGCGCAGCCAGCCAGCCAGCCAGCACCTCAAGACGCGTCAGAACAAGGAGGGCACGCATGGCAGCAGCGAGCACACATGGCAGGCAGGCAGGCAGGCGGGCGGCCCCTCTCCATCCCCCACACCCAGCCCGCCCCCCGCGGCCCGCCCGCTCACTTGCGGTTGAGCACAAACCACTGCGACGACTTGCGCCAGTGCAGGTCCGGCTTGAAGCGGTCGCTGCTCATGGCGGTGGGGTTGTACCGCCGCCGCATCAGGTGCAGGTCCTGCATGCGGTACGATGTGGTACCGTACGGGCAAGCGCAGGGCCGGTACGGATGGGTCGTGGGGTGGGCGAGGTGGGCACCCAGCTGGGTGGTGCAGCGGCAGGCTGGCAGGCAGGCAGCTGGTGGTGGCATGTCGGTGTGTGTGTGCACTGCGGCGGGTCTGTGCCCCGCCCCTCACCTCGTGCCAGCAGCTGTCCAGCCGGCTCCTGGCGTCGTGCATGAGCTGCTGCCACATGAGGGCGGGGTGGTACAGCGGTACTGCACACACGGCAGCTTCCGCCGGGCACAGAGTCAGGGCTGCCGCCCGGTGCATCTGCTGCCAGGCAATCGGCCAGCCAAGCGTGGCAGCGCAAGGAACGCCCGCGCTCTGGTCTGCACATGCTGCACACAAGCAAGCCGACACACACAAGCTCACCCGTGGTGTCCCCCACCAGCACAAACCGCTCATTGCGCTGGTCCAGTACAGCCGCCTCCACCAGCCGCTTGGCGGCCGCGGCCAGCGCGTGCGTGCCCCACTTGGCCACCTGCGCCCGGGCAGCCCAGCAGGTGGTACAGGCGGTACAAGGGTGCTGGGCGCTGGGCGGGGCAGAGGCTGGAGAGGCAGAGAGCCGGCGGCATTGCTCGCCGGGCTCCCGCCCCCACCCGCAGCCCTCTCCTGGCAGCCCCAGGCAGCCCTCTCAAGCCCACCCCACCACCACCACCACCACCACACACACACCACCAACGCATGCACACACAAACACTCACACCACCCCCTGTGCTCACGATTCGGTCTGGTATGAGGCGCCCCTGGAACACCAAGCCCTCTGGGTAGTCCTTGAGGGTGGGCCGCGCGTGCACGTAGACGGAGAACAGGTGCTGCTGGGCCAGCACCGAGGGGCTTCGCCCGGGCCCCAGCCGCCGCCGCAGCGCATCCACGCACAGCGGGTTGCAGGCGGCCGCCGCGCCGCACTGGCGCGCGCAGGTGCCTGTGGGGCGGGGCGGGCCGGGGTGGTGGCGGGGCGGGGCGGGTGGGTGGCCCGGGCTGGCAGGTTGCGAGGCAGGGGAGGTGCGGTGGCGATGCGAGAGGGAGCGGCGGTGCAGGGCTGGGGGTGTAAATGTTGGGCGGGTGCGGCACAGAGCGCAGCGGCCAGCGCGGGCGCAGCCACCCACCCGCGGCGTCGCACTGCTTGAGGCAGAAGGCGTCGGGCCCCGCCAGGCCGCCCCGCGGCAGCAGGCCCGCCGCCGCCCGCATCCAGTCCGTCCACATGGCGGCGTGCGGCAGGTCGCCGTGGGTGAGGAACAGCAGAGCCACCTGTGATTGGCGCGGGCAGGCGGGCAGGACACTGGTGGAGGAGGTGCGAGAGGAGCGGTGTGGGAAGGCAGGCGGTTTGGATTGTCAGGCGGGCTGCCAGCGGTGCAGGGCAGCAGCACAGGGCCTGGGAGTGCGCGGCGGTGGCAGGGCAGGCAGGCATGTGTCGTGGTGAGCATGGGCGTGCGCGTGGCTGGGCGGCAGGCGGCGGCGGCGGTCACCTTCCCGTGCGAGGGCGTGACCGCACAGTGGGTGCCGGGCGCGGCAAAGGTGGCCAGGTCGACGCCTGGCTCCACCTGCTGCGTGCTGCTGCTGCCGCCGGGGCCGATGACGGCCAGAATCTCGTCCATGGCCGCGCCGTCCCTGCTGCCGGGATGCCGCTTCCTGCCGCCGCCGCCGCCGTCCTCCTGCTCCCCGCCGCCATCCTCCTGCTGCCACCCATCGTCGCCGCCGCCGTCGCTGCTGCCACCGCCGCTGCCGCCTGCCGTGGTCAGCAGCAGCAGCTCCTGCTGTCGCCGCTCGCCCGGGCCGCGCTCCGCATGCGTGCCGCCGTCGCCGCCGGGCGGCAGGCCCGCGGCGTGGCCTCGCTGCAGCAGGCGGCGTGCACGTGCGCTGCCCGCGCCGGTGGTGTTGGTCAGCGCAGAGTGGGCCACTCCCAGCACGGTGATGGCTGACAGGCTGGCGATGGCAAGCCAGACGAGCGGGAAGGGCAAGGGCTGGTGCTTTGGTGGCACGCAGTATGTGGGCTTGGCAGGGGTGCCGTGCAGCGAGTCATCCGGCTTGCTCGGGCTGCCCTGCAGCAGCATATCTCTCTTGGAGGGGCTGTCCTGCATGCCTGCGCAGGTCGTGCCGCTGCTGCTGCTGCGAGCGTGCTGTGCTGCTGCTGCCGCCGGCCGTCGTGGCGCCGGCGGCGGCTGTGTGGGGGGCGGCGCCACCAGCTGCCAGCGGCTCCCTGCGGCAGCCAAGGCGGCAGATTCGGCGTGAGAAGCGACAGCCCTGCACGGGGGCGGCGCAGCGAGTTTGATGCGCACCTGCTCGCAGCCTGCTACTCCAGCAGGCCCCAAATGAACGTCCAGGCGATCAGTACGTTTGCGGGGTGGCTCGAATGCGACGCCACGCCTGCCAAATCAACGGAAGTGGTTCTCCCCCCAACGAACCATCCACCTCGACAAAACGCGCTGAGAGCCAAACGCGGTGCTGAGAGCCGATGATGCTCTCATCGATCATCTGACATCCGGCGTGATCGCAAGCGGCTTCATTCTTCTTCGTGACACCCTCCTGAACTGCCACATGGCAGGCTGCGGCCAATGTGCCTGCCCTTCGGAACGCCCGGGCGATCTGCGCCTTGCATCGTCCGTTCGTCAAGTAATGCGCCTGGGAAGCAGTCCATGTGCTGGCTCCAACCAGCATCTGCCGCTCACCGCCGCACACCGCCGCACGGCGGGCGGTGACGGCCACGTGTGCGCGGCCAGGTGCGGTCGCATCTCGACCAGGACCTTCAGTTGCAGTGATGGATGAGTTTCCTGATAGCCACAGAGCATGGCGGTTGCCAGGCATAGAGAGCATGCCACTGCTTTCAGGCTCGGTCTGGCGACCGCGCACGGGCAAGTGGGCGGGGGGGCAGCGGGGGGGCAGGATGCACAACATCAGCAGGAACACACCCTAAGAGTGTGCCCATGCATGGCAATCAGCGTGTGCAATTGCTCTGCTGCGGATGGAGGAGCGCCGAGCAAGCCGGCGGCGGGACAACCAGCTCAGCGCGACAGCATGGCAGAGACCATCGGTAGGGTCCACATCACGGGAATGATTCATTCAATCAATCAATCATATTGGATTTACTGCACGCCGTGCCAACAGGCCGCCCGATCGTCACGCCAAGAGCACCTCCAACTTGACGGCACCAGGCCGGACCCGGCGCCCACCAGTTGCTCACACCTGCAATTTGCAGCAGCTGGGGGGGCGCTGTGGGCGCCGGGCCACTAAAGCGGCCTCCGCCCTAAAACGCCACCCTTGTTCCCCGCGCTCCCGGCCTGCCAGCTGCGGCTGCTGGCAGTAACGAGCGCGAGGCGGGGGGCGCAGAGGGCCGGGAGCCTGCGCTGGCTGCTGGGGGAGTCGCAGTTGCGGCAGCAGCAGTAGCGGCAGCGCCCTCGCCTGGTCCGCCAGCGGGGGCGCAGACATGGAAGCCCAGCAGCAAGAGCCGCGCATGCGGGGCATCAACACAGGCACCCACTTTGTGTTTTGCGGCGGCAGGATCATCGTAGGTGGGTGTTGTTGCTGCGGGCAGCTTTGCCTGCCGGGCCGGACCGTCCCGCCTGCCTTGAGGCTGCGCAGCAGAGCCTCTGTCGCCGCTCTCGGCGTGCCGGCTGCCGGTTGCCGCAACGCAGCGCTGCCCTGCTGCCTGCAGGCCCTGACTGGAAGTCGCTGCTTGGCTCCACCATCCTCATAGTCACACCCATGGGTGAGGCGGCCAGCACCACCCCAGCCCGTTGTCCCCGCGCCCCTGATCCTGCATCCCTCCCGCCGCGCCGCGTGCGTGCCCCGCTGCGCCCCACCTCCTGCCCGTCCCGCCCCGCCCTCCCCTGACCTCCTGCAGTGGTGTTTTGCGTGTGGGTGCTGCCGTGGGTGGGCCCCCACATCTCGTGGGCGCTGGTGGCCATCTCAGCGCTCATGATGGCCTTCTCCCTCGCCATGCTGGCGCTCACCGCCTTCAAAGACCCGGGCTTCATCCCGCACTCGCCCCCAGACGAAGACGTAGAGTACGGGTGGGCGGGGAGGCAGGCGGGGGGTGGGTGGGCTGCAGCAGCCGAGGCGTCGGGAGGAGGGCGGTGGCAGAGGGCCGGCAGGCGGGCCGGCGGCGGCCGTGCGTAGGTCGGCGGCGTGGGGGGTGCTTCTGTGCTTGTGAGCGGCATGCTGCAGGCTGACCCCTGGCCCTGCTGCCCTCTGCTCCCTGCCGCCGCTGCTGCAGCATGCAGGCCCCCACCAAGGACCACCAGATCAACGGGTACACAGTGACCACCAAGTATTGCACCACATGCAGGTCGGCGGGTGGGGGTGGGGGGTGGCAGCAGGGGCAGGGGCACTCCCACACCCTGGCACCACACTGCCTGCCTGCGCCAGGCCAGCGGCGGCTGCCGTGCGCTGGGCCTTGGGGAACCCGCGGGAGGGTGGGCTGCTGGGGAGAAGAAGAAGCGGGGCGTAGGCAGGGCAGCGGGCAGCGCAGAGATGCGGTGCTGGGGCAGCGGCATGCCATGCCGACATGGCCAGCCGCCGCCCTGCCCCCGCCCCGCCCCGTGCAGCCACTACCGGCCGCCGCGCTGCTCTCACTGCGCCGTGTGCGACAACTGTGTGGACAAGTTTGACCACCACTGCCCCTGGGTGGGCACCTGCATCGGCCGGGTGAGCGACAGCGTGCCAGCAGCAGCAGCAGCGGCGGCGGCACCGGGGGCGTCAGCAGCAGCGGGAGCTGGGCAGCCAGTTCTGGTGCTCAGTTCTGGTGCCCGCTCGCACCTGCCCCTGCACGGCCGCGTTGCATCTGCCCCGAGCGCTCCCTCCACCCACCCACCCACCCGCCCCCCTGCCTGCCCCACCCCCGCAGCGCAACTACCGCTTCTTCCTGCTCTTCGTCTCCTCCACTGCCCTCCTCTGCTGCTGGGTGTTTGGCCTGTCGGTGGCCAACCTGGTGCTGGCTGCCAAGGAGGACGGGTGGGCGTGGGGCACCGCGCTGGGGGACCACCCCGCGGCCATCGTGTGCGCCGTCTACACCTTCCTGGGCTTCTGGTTTGTGGGGGGCCTCACCGCCTTCCACACCTACCTGGTCTCCACCAACCAGACCACCTACGAGCACTTCCGCCACCGCTACTCGGGTGGGTGGGTGGGTGGGTGGGTGGGTGGTGTGGGTGATGGGCAGGCACGGTGCTCGTGTGCGGGGCCGGCAGCAGTGGGGGAGGGGGCCCTCAGCCGCCGTGCCGGCTTGCTGGCTGGGAGCAGGAGCCAGCAGCCTGTGCTTGCTGCCTCCTCCTCGCTGCGCCTGCAGACCTGGGCAACCCCTACAGCAACGGCTGGGCCTCCAACTGCTGGGAGGTCTTCTGCACGCCCATCCCGCCCCGCTGGCCCCAGCTGGGCATGCAGCAGCGCGCAGAGGCGGCGGCGAGGCTGGCGGAGGCCGGCCGCGGCGCAGCGGCTGGCTACGGCGAGATGCAGCTGGCGCAGGTCGGCCCAGCGGCGCAGGGCAGCTGCAGCGGTGGCCGCCGGCCTGTTCCTGTGCCCCTCTCGCCCGCCCCCGCCTGTCTTGCATTCCAGCTGCTGGCTTGGCCTGCAGCACAGGGCACAGTTGGCGTCGTCCAGCCACCCAGCAGCGCAGCCCACCCAGCCTGTGTGCCCGCCTGCCTGCCGCCCCCGCAGATGCCCGCGCCCAAACGCAACGGCACCCACGCGGCGCCGCCGGCCAACGGCAGCGGCAACGGCGGCATGGCGGCAGGCGTGGCGGCGGTGGCAGCGCTGCCCTACCAGCACCAGGACCAGGTGCGAGCTCTGGCCTGGCCTCCTGGGCGTCCCTAGGCTGCGCTGGGCTGCCGCGCGGCAGCTCGGTCCCCCGCCCAGCTGCCACGTGGCTGCTGCCAGCATCAGCCGAGCCGTCGATTGTGCGTGGTGTGCAGGACGGCGAGCTGGGCGGCGACGCGGGCCACCTGGGCGCGGCGGCGGCGCCGCCCGCAGCCCCCGACCTGTACCTCCAGCAGTGCGGCAGCGGCACGGTGTCTGAGCGCGTCAACACCACCACGTGAGCAGGCGGCCGGGGCATCTGGGCGGCGCCTGGGGCTGCAGGGCTGGGCAGCGCTGGGCAGGGGCGCGGGGGTGGGGCCCAGGCCTGCTGGCGCTGGCTTGCACTGGGGAGGGGTCGGGGCCGCATGCGTGGGCAGCTGGCCCTGATCGCTACCTGCGCGCGCCTGCTGCGCTGCCTGCGCCCGCCGCCTGCAGCTACACGCCGGCCGAGAGCCGGAACAGCAGCTACCACGATGCCGAGGGGCAGGCCCCGCCGCCGGAGGAGCCAGGCATGTGGGCGGCGGTGACGGCGGCGGCGGCGCGGAGAGCGGGAGAGCTTGGGGGCAGCATCACGGGGTCGTCGGGGGATGAGAGCACGCCGCCACGGCCGCCGGCCCCACACCAGCCGGCCCCGGCCCGCCTGCTGTCGGGCCGCACGCGCGGCCAGGCGGGCAGCAGCCCAGCAGGCAGCGGCAGCGGCGGCGGCGACCTTGGGGATGGCGGCATGCCTGCCGGCAGCAGCGCAGCCGGCGCGGTCGTGTTGCCGTTGCCGCCGGTGGCGGCGCCGCCGGCAGCGGCAGCAGAACTTGATGAGTTTGGTCTCCACTCGCCGCGGCCGCCCGGCACCCACTGAGGGGCATGCAGCTAGCGCCAGTCTGTGCCCCTGCCTTGCGCTTCCATTTCCCTGCCTCCTCTCCTCAGCTTCCCTCGTCTCTCCCTGCATTGCCCATCTGCTGCTGCACTGTGCCCCTGCCGGGCAGCTCTCGCCGTCGGCGGGAAGGCGGCACGCTCCTGCCACCCTCCGCGGCGCTTCCCCCTTGTGCTCTTGTACCCGCTTACAGCGCTTACAGCTCGCCATGTTGTAGCAAGCAATCCAGCTCCCCCCGCGATGTTGTAGCAACAACCCCGCTCCCCCTTGTGCGCCCATTGCCGGTAAACAGCAATTCGGGCCCAGAAGCGCGCTGCCGGTGTGTCAGGTGTAGCCCACAGGAGTCCCCAGTCAGTCATACGGTCAGGTCAAGAGGCGGCCGCTGCCTTCCAGCTGCATCTGGCGCTGTCGTCCATGAGATGAGCGGCCACCACGCCAGCAGATGCCGCAAGTCAGAATCCCCTCCGCCACGTCATGCGCCATCCGCCGCCTGCCCTCACTCGGGTGGCTTGGCCGCAGTGACTGCAGGCGGGTGTGGCGGGATGGCTGGTGAGGCAGGGCAGGAGGCTCAGCAGTTGGGGGGTCAGGCCGCAGCGCGCATGCCGCGGCGGGCGGCGCACCTGCACCGGGCGCGGCGTGCGCCAAGCGGGTGGTGGTCTTCATGGGGCCGACGTGGCGCTCGCTGCTGAGCAGCGTGGGGTTGCGGGTGTCCCGCTTGGCCTGTGGCGCGCAAGCGCAGGCTGCTCAGCGCATGGGAGCGTGCTGCTCCGACAAGCGCAAGGAGCTCAGCAGGCACCCACGCTTAAGCGCTACCGCTGCCCCGTAGCGATGAGGTTGACATGCAGCCAGCTGATCTTCTCACCCGCCCACCCGTGCCTCCACCCACCTTGATGCACAGCTCCGCCTCCCCCGCATGCACCATGTCGTACAGCAACGGCGCCTGCTTGCGGTGGCTGCCGGCAGGCTGCCCTGCTGCTCCGGCCTTGGCGGGCGGGCTGCGCGCCGCCAGCCTCTCCTCCGCCTGCTTCTGCATGCGTGCCTCGTGCTGCAGGAAGGGCGGGCAGCGGGGGACAGAGGGACGGATCAGTGGAGGCGCGGCGTGCAAGACGGCGGCCAGGCGCTGTGGCTTGCGCGCGCCTTGATCTGCTGCCGGTGCTGCTCCATTCTTATGGACAGCGAGAATTCGTCGCGCTTGCTGTAGTCGCTGGTGTGGAAGCCGCGCTCCGGCTTCTCGGGCTGCAGCTCGCGGTACGGCAGCCGCTCCGCCCACACGTCCCCCTCGAACAGCGGCATGAAGCGGCCGAAAAAGTCGCGGGTGGGGTGCTTGCCAGTCTTGGTGGCGGCCACGCCAAACTGCTTGCCACCATAGGCGTCGCGCTGCAGCTCGCTGCTGCTGTATGGGCAGGGGGACCTGCGGTGAGGATGGGGTCGGCGAGGGGCGGTGTGGGTGCCGCCGGTGGGCGGCGGGAGCGGTGGGCTGGTCAAGGGCGCGCTGTGCGGCCCTGCTTACTCCTCCGTGCCGACACGCAGGAACGCCGTTCGCGTGAAGGTGCCCTCGAGTGCCTCCTGCGTGCGTAGCCCGTTGTGCATAGCGGCACCAGTCTCTTCTCGCTCCTGGCCAATCCCAAATGGTGCCAATTGTGACGCGGACTGTGGTTCTGTGACCCGCGGCTTCTCTAAGCGGCCCTGCAGCTGTACAGGCACGCAGCAGGGCGTAGCAGGCGCGCGCGCTTCGTTGACTGGTTCCTGGGGACAAACGCAGGCCGGGATGATGTCTTGAAACCTGCAATTGACTGCCTGATGCACGCCGAGCACCGCTTGGAGCTGCTGGGCGTGTCACTGAGGCCCGAACTCTACCAGGAGCCTGCCTATGAGCGGCCGGGGTTCCTGGCAGGCGCTCTGCCGCGCAGCAGGGCACACCCTGCACAGCAGCAGCGCCGCCGGGCCGCGCTGGACCGGCTGGCCTCCCATCGGTGTGCCACCGCCGCCCAGCAGCAGGCGGCTGAGCGGCGCGCTTTGGAGCTCAGACGTCGCTGGCTGCACTCGAGGGCGCTGTCGGCCTTGCGCTGTGCAGTGGAAGCAGCACAACAGCAGCGCCTGGCGGCAGATAGGCAGCGCAGCAAGTGGCTCTACCTGTGGCTTGCTGCCTGTTGGGCGGCTTGGAGGAGTGGCGCTGCTCGCCAGCGCCACCTGGCAGCCAAGGCGGTGGAAGCAGCAGCGCTGCGGTGGTGCACCCTGGCGGCGCGGGCGCTGGCTGCACTGCAACAGCAGGTGGCGCTGCGGGCGGCCAAGCGCCGCCGCTGGGTGCAGGCAGAGAGCTTTGCGGCCTTCTGCCGGCTGGTGCACAGCTTGGATGCGTGGCGCAGTGGCGTAGCCAGCAGAGCTCGAAAGCAGCAGCTGCTGCAGGCGGCTGTATTGCACTGGGCCACCCGCCTGTGCTGCCAGGTGCTTGCCTGGTGGAACCGCCACACCCAGCAGCGCCTGCTGCGCCAGCGGCAGCACCAGCTGGCAGACGACCTGCACCGCCGCACCGCGTTGACCGCAGCATTGGCGGCCTGGTTGGCGCTTGTGCGGCGCCTGCGCCAGCTGCGGGCTGCAGCGGTGCTTACCATTGAGCAGTCGCTGTGGGGAAGCCCAGAGCAGCTGGCCAAGATGTGCCTGCGGTGCTGGCACTTCCGCAGCCAGCGCAGCTCCCAGCTGAGGGACGGCATGCACCTGGCGGCCCGCCTGCACGGGTATGGCCTGCTGACCGCAGCCTGGCGAGGGTGAGTGAACAGTGGTGAAGCAAGTGCAGCGGGAGCTGCATGCCACTGCTATTGTCACAAGGCTGCTTCTCTGGCATGCCGCGCAGACCCGCCTGCTCACGCCACCACCACCCCTGCAGGTGGCTGATCTGGTGCTGTTGGCGGGAGCACCTGCGGCGCCTGCACGCCGCTATGCGTGCCCTGCGGCCCAGGCTGGTGCTGGCCTGCACGCTGCGGCGCTGGCAGGCGGCGGTGTGGGCTGCCCAAGCCGACGATGGCAGCATCTGCCACCGAGCCCTGCAGCTTCCGCGCTCCTTTGCTGCCTGGCGCCAGCAAGCGCATCGGCAGGCAGAGTTGCGTTGGACGGGAGAGCAGTGCCAGCGCCTGCTGGCTTACAACCAGCAGCATCGAGTGCTGGCAGCATGGAGGCAGCGGGCTGTCTACAAGCAGGCAGCTTGCGGCAAGCAGGAGCAGGCTGCTGCCGCCTGGATGGCCCGCCTGAGGCGCATTGCACTCATCGGCTGGCGCAAGGCAGCGCAGCGCAAGGCAGCCTGCCGTGCGCAGCGGCAGCAGGCCGAGACGCACTGGTCACTGCGGATGGCTGGGGCAGCGCTGCGATCATGGCACCAGGTGGCGAGCCTGCGGCGCATGAGTTGCGACTGGCACCCATGCTACCTGCTCATCGGTGCCTTTGGGAGCTGGCGGCAGCTGGCGCAGCGCACGGCACGTGAGGCGGCTCGCTGGCGTAGTGCTGTGCGCCACTTCTACCTACGGCAGCTGAGGGCAGGGTTAGAGGGCTTTATGCACCACCACCATCGGCGGCAGCAGAAGGAGCAGCGCCTGCGGGCGATGCGTCAGTATCACCTTGCCAGGATGCTGCGGTGCTGTCTGGGCGGCTGGGCAGGTCCCTCTCTGGCTGCGGCTCGGAGCAAGCGCGCCAAGCAGCAGCAGGCATCAGAGCATCTTAGCAGGCGGGTGCTGCAGCTGGTGGTCACAGCCTGGGGCGGCCCCTTCCTCACGGCAGCACGGCAGCGCCGCCAGCTGCAGCAGGCTGCCGACAGTTGGCGAGCAACGCGGCTTCTGCACAAGGCATGGCTGTGCTGGCAAGGGCGGGTGGAGCAGCAGGCCGAGCATCGGCAGCAAGTGGCTGCAGCCATGGTGTTGCTGCATCCGGCACGTCTGCGCACCTTGCTGGCGGCATGGAGGCGGTGCCACTTGGGCCTGGTGTGGAGGCGCACACAGGTGGGTGCGAAAGTTCTGCTTGTGCCGGGCTGTGTGCTGCAATTGGCAGCAATGGCAGGCTGCGCGTAGCCTTCAAGATGCGCCCGCTTGAAATGCACTGTTACAGGCGCCAGCAGCAGCAGCCAGGCTGCGCAGGCGGCGGCTTTGCGGAGCATGGGCAGCCTGGCAGGCTCGTGTTGAGCGGCGGCAGCAGTACCACAGCCGCTGGTGCCGGGCGCTGCTGTTTTCCATGCGGCAGCAGCAGCTGCGGGTGTTTCGCGGTTGGCGGGAGGCCGTGCACGATGCTGGGCTGCAGCTGAGGGTGCATGGCGTGGATGTAGGGCAGGGGATCGCTGCAGCGCAGCCGGCCAAGCTAGCGGCAGGTCCTGGCCTGGATGCAACTGAGCTGGTGCTTGCCAAGCTGCGGCGGCTGCAGAGCGCCGTCGCGGCACTGTCAGTGGTGGAAGTGGGGGACGCGATGGACCCTTTACTGCAGTGGCGGGCCTCCAGCATCGCCAACCTGCCCTGGCCGGCTGTGCAAGGAGGAGGGAAGGGTGCAGCGGTGGCTAGCAAATGCAGCGGGACTGCCGGGCAGCAGCGCACAGAGAAATGATCCGCGGCACGACACCTGAGATCGTGCATGTAGATGCAAATCAAGGCTTATTAATCATTTAAGCTTCGGCTCAGCTAGCTTAGCGACCCAAGGTGAAGTCAAACGGAGGTGGACAACCGATGCTGTCGGCGCAGGTTACAGCCCAAATGCAGCTTGTGCCCCTTCACAAACTTCCACCCCAGAAGCCATGCACCTGTGCATCTGTGCTTGCGCCTGGTCAACGCCTCTTCAGTCAACCTGTACCTGCGCCAGGTGTACATGTACCGTATGTGGCCGTGGCCCACGGCCACACGCGTTTGCGCTGCCTCAGCCCATCCGATCACACTCAGCTCGCCTCGCTTGTCAACTGGTCTTCGTGTGTTGCTCGCCGCAACTGCCACAAAAATGGTGAGCGAACGCGTCCCCCCAGGCCCCTGGCGCGCCAAAACTGCCTGCAGCCTTACCACATCCTGGTTATTCCCACTCCCGCACGGGCGGCGCGTGATCGAGGCTGATCGGGGCCGCGTGAGAAACGACCGCCCGCTGCAGGTGGTGTCCAAGCGCGTTGCCAACGCCAAGAGCGAGCGGTTCTACCGCAGCGGCCTGGGCAAGAAGAAGGAGGTCGGCTTCTGGCAGGTGCGGGCTGCCGCCACCGCTCCGCTGCCTGCCGCCGCCGCTCCTCGCCGCCGCCGCCCCCTGACGCACCGCCTCTGCTGCTGCTGCTGGTGCAGGGCATCAGGAAGCAGCTGGCGGCACACCCTCTGCTGGTGGCATTCCTTTTCTTCATCATGATTTTCTCGGGTACGCGCAGGCGGAAGGGTGCTGCCTGCTGTAGGTCAGGTGGGAGCGGTGAGCTGTGCCTATGAATCAGGTCCCTGCCTCCCCATCCCGCCGGACTGCTTCTCCCCTGCAGGCGTGGCATCCTTCTTCATGGTGCTGCCAGCCGAGCGGCAGAGGCTGAACTTTGGCGGCCTGTACGGCGGCGACGAGTAGGCGCAGCAGCCATTCACGTTCACGGCAGCTGCGGCAGCTGCTCCGTGAAATGAGCATTTGATGGCGGGCTGTGGCGACGCGGCAGTGGCTCTGTCGCTCAGAGCTCACACTGCAGCAGGCGCGATTGCCTGTCCCGCCGCCCCGCAGCCTGCCAGCTATGTAGCCCTCCTTGTGACGGCGGGTGCGGCGCGCCGCCCTCCTCTCCACAGGCGAGAGGAGGCAGCCGCCGCGCTGCCACCCCTTGACATGTTTGCTGCGCCTCATGTGAGCATGACGACCCGCGCTTGCTTGACACTTCTCCCTGTTTGCCTGCCCCCTCTGAAACCCAACCCGCCTGCCCGTCGCCGCACATCTGCCGCCATTTTGTTTGTCGTCGGCACAACGAGCCGCCACAGCGAGAGCTTTAAATCAGACCAGAATCAAGCACCCTCGCAACATCACGCGTCGGCCGTCACAGACAGGGGCAACCAGGCAGGCAGGCAGGTACGGAAGCATTTGAACAGCAAGCAAAAAGAGTCTCGTCCACCCAGCTGGCAGCAGGAGGCAACCAAGCAGCCGCCAGGCAGAGTCGCAGGCAAGGGGGTTGAGTTTTGACGGCGCAAGCCGGGCCAGTCATGCCGGCGGCACCGCGTGGCCGTTGGCCGCCGCCGCCGCCGCCTGCAGCTGCTCCTCCTTGAGCTGCGCCGCGTACTGCATCATGCCCTGTACCGCCGCCTGAACGTTGGCCTCCAGCCCGCCCACCAGCGCCGCAAAGCGCGGCGGGTCGGCGTGCTGGATGCCATGCAGCGTCTCTGCAAGGAGGGAGGGAGGGAGGGAGGGAAGGGAGCTGTCAGCCTGAGGGATGGCCCGACGCCCGCACAACGATTCCGCCCCCCCCTCTGCCGGCGGCGGCGCTACGGCCCGGGCCGGCCCGGGTTCCCAGCCGTGCCGCCGCCCAGCGCGAGGCTGCGGCTGCGGCTGCGGCGGGGGGCGGGCGGGCTAGGGCTGTGGCTTGCCTGCGAAGTAGATGAAGGGGTCTATGGCGTCGATGGGGGAGGACACCTCCTCCACCTCGTCCTCGCTGTAGTACTCGTCATCTGCAGGGAGGGAGGGGGAGGGAGGAGGGGGGGCGATGGAGTGGAGTGGGAGGCCAGGGAAAGGGAAAGGGGAAGGAAGGGTGGCGAGCGGGGGTGGAGTGTCGGGCTGGAGAGATGGCCGGGGAGGTGCCCAGCACCAGCCAACCCTTTGCATCGGGCAGGCACAGGCGGAATGCCGGCCCGCGCACCGTCGTCGTCGTCGTCGTCGTCCTCGTCCTCTGCTCCCGCCCGCTTGGCCGCCATGCGCTGTAGCCGCCTGCAGCAGCGTGGCCACATCGGCCCACCTCAGGCCCGGGTTCGGCAGGCAGCGGGCGCATTCGCGGGCCGGCCGGCACCGGCCGCGCCGCACGCGTGGCTGGCACAGCCGCAGTACAGCTGCATTTCTGCATGGTACTATCGTTTTAATTTTGGCACATCAGTAACAGCAGTACAGCGGTACCATCCGCTCACTTGAGGTATGCATCGTCCACCTCGTCGTCCTCGTCGCTCAGCTCCTCCTCCTCCTCCTCCTCCTCCTCCGACTCATCTTCCAAGTCTGCAGCCAGGCGCCAGGCAGGGTGACGGGGAGGCAACAGGAAGAAGGCGACAGGAAGAAGGCAACAGGGAGGCCAGGGAGAGGGGGCCAGGAGGGCTGCAAGCAGCGGGGCCAGAGAGCAGCAGACGGCGGGGCACGAGGAGGACGAGGCAAGCACAAGAGGAGCGGCACGGCAGCAGGGCGGTAGGCAAGGAGGCGCGGCCGCCGCACCCGACTCGTTGCCGCTGCCCGCCTCGCTGCCGCGCCTCTTGTGCTCCTCCTGCTGCTGCTTCAGCGCCAGCAGCAGGCGCAGGATGGCCGAGGTGACCTGCGGGGGGAGGGTTGCCGGGCAGGGCGGGGCGCGGGGCGGGTGTGGCGCCTAAACATGCCTGCTGCCCCAGCTGCTGGGGATTCAGGCAGACCAGGCGCAACAAACGGCTGCCAGCCTCTCTCTCTCTCCCCCCCTCTCTCTCTCTCTCTCTCCCCCCCTCCCTCCCTCTCCCTCTCTCCCTCCCTCTCTCATACACACACGCACACACACACACACAGGCGCGCGCCCGCGCCACACCTGCGGCATGCCCGGCTTGACCTCTGGCGGCAGCTGGGCGTCGGGCAGGGCGATGAGCGAGATGAGGCCAAGGGTGACCACCTTCTTCTCGCGGGGGGAGGTGTAGTGCTTCATCTTGCCTGCGGTACGGGTGGCGCGGTACCGACGCGAGGCACAGGGAGACACTCATCGTTTTGGGAGCCGCAATGCTGGCTGCAACTCCGCCGACCCACACGCTCACGGTACCGTACCGCATCGTACCGCACCATACCGTACAGCACCCCAACCCACACGCTGGCCCCCAGCCACCCACCCGACTTCTTGCTGGCGAAGATGGTGGTGCTGAGCGCGCCCAGCGCCTGCTGCAGCGCCCCCTGCGCCTGTAGCGCCCCCAGCGCCAGCGCCGCGTCGTAGTGCAGCGCATCGCCCAGCACGCACATCAGCGCGTCGCCCAAGTCCTGAGACTCCACCCCGGGGGCCAGCCGCCGCAGCGCCAGCGACAAGTAGGGGCCTGTGGGGATGGGCGGCGGGGGCGCGTGGGTGTGTGCGTGGCGTGTGCGTGTGCGGTGTGTGTGTGTGGTGGTGGTGGGGGGGGGGGGGTGCCAATGCACAAGTGCTTCAAGCCATGTGTTTAGGAAAGGAACCGCACAACAGCACAAGCCTCCGCCACCCTCCCGCCACCCCAACGCGCAGCGCACGCGAGGCATGGGGCTCCCCCAGCCCCCAGCCGCCCCCGCCCCACCCCAGCCGCTGACCGAGGCCCCAGGCGCGTGCGCACACACACACACACACACACACACAGGCGCCGCCATCCGGCCAGCTCACCCAGGCACTGGTCCACGCGCCCCCTGCAGTGCTGCAGTATCACGCCCATCAGGCGGGGAGCGCACACCACCTGGTCCTCGGGATACCCGTCCCCGCACAGTACCAGCTCCAGGGTCTGGCATGGGACACAAGAGGCAGGTGTGCTGGTGTGGGCGCGGTTGTGTGTCTGGGGTGCGCGTGCGTGGAGCCCAGGCAAGCAGGCCACAGAAAAGAAAAGAGAAACGGGAATCCAGCTGCCGCTGGCGCCGCCGCCGCCGCCGCACCACCACCAACACCACACACACCACACACACCTGGTTTGTGAGCGCAAGGTAGTTGGGGGTCTGGCTGGTGAGGAAGACCTCGGTGCCCTTGCTGCGAGCGAGGGCAGCATGCGGGGGAACAGGCGGCGGCAGGATGGGGTGGGGAGACGTGCGGGCACGCGCAGCGCGGGCAGGGCAAAGCGGGGGCAGGCAGCCGCCCGGCCCGGCAGCGCCGCGGCAGGCGGTGCAGCTGCAGCAGGGCCCCTGCTCTCTGCTCTTCATGTAGATATACAGGGAGATCTCCCTGCTCTCTCCCTGCTTTCTCTCCTCCTGCTTTCTTCCCCCACCCCCCCACCTGATGAAGTTGTCCAGCGGCAGCAGCACCTCCTCAAAGTAGTCGATGGCCCAGTCACCCACGCACTGCAGGTGTTGGGTGTGTGGGGGGGGCAGGGGGCGGCGTGGCAGGAGAGGACAGCCGGTGTTGCGTGCATGTGTGCGTGCGTGAGTGTTGTGTGCGCGTGTGTGTGTGTGCGCGTGTGGCGTGCGCACGCGTGTGCTGTGTGTCTGGTGGGTGGGAGGGGCAGGCGCCGCCGCCGACCGCTCTCGCACACACCCAGCCCCGCAAGCCGCCGCAAGCCGCCGCCCCCACACCTGGAGCATGCGCGGGTAGAGGGTCCACATGCGGGGGGAGATGGTTGGGGGGAAGTAGGTGAGGTAGGTGGCCAGCTGCATCACCTCCTCAAAGATGTCCTGCCCCTCGCTGGACGTGTAGCGGTCCAGGATGGGCCACAGGATGTCCTCCATCTGTGGGGGTGGGTGGGGGGCACGTGGAGAGGTGCGTGGTAAGGAAAGGTGTGTAGTGGG